GGATTGCATTGAATCTATAGATTGCTTTGGGTAGTATAGCCATTTTGACAATATTGATTCTTCCAATCCATGAACACGGTATATTTCTCCATCTGTTTGTGTCCTCTTTGATTTCTTTCATCAGTGTTTTATAGTTTTCTACATATAGGTCTTTTGTTTCTTTAGGTAGATATACTTTTAAGTATTTTATTCTTTTTGTTGCAATGGTGAATGGTATTGTTTCCTTAATTTCTCTTTCTGGAAAACAGAAAGAGAGAAACAGAAAAAACTGTATTCTAAGAAAGCTTTTTCTCTTAACAGAGGAGACCAAATTCCAGTCTGGTACCAGCTTACTGTTAATAATAAAATTTGTTTATTTGGTTAACCTTAGAAAAATCTTTTCCATAAATCTTGAAGTAGCAGTATTCTTGCAAAGACATCAGAGTGAAACTATAGAAGACATGTTTAATCTGATTAAATTGCCATTGACAAAGAAACCTGGTCATTGCTGTGACATGGAACACTTTAACATGGTAGGTAACTAGAATTATAACTGACATTTTACCAGGACATATCAGATTTTCATGTATTTCACATGATGTTTAGGATAGCTACAGTAGAAGCATCAACCGTACAATATAACCTGAGAAGATTCATCATTCCTCCAGCAGTACTTCCCATATAATTTAACATGTCAAATGAACCCAAGTAATTTAATATCTCTTTTTGGAACATCTCAGGGGCCCTCTGAAGCATCCCAAAGTTAGCTAAAAGTCAAATCATTTGGGAAGTTTTGTCAATAAATATCAAAAGGGTTTATAACAGTCAGATAGGATCATATTGGTCACTGTGAAACAATAGTTATTCACTTAGCCAAAGTAGCAAAAAGGATTTCAAAGGAACAGATAGAACAGATCAATTAAGAGTTAAAGAAACTTAAATCTTATTATTAGAAGCAGTTCAACATCTGAAGAAAGTATGTCCTCTTAACAGAGAGAAAGGCCAAATTTAAGTTTTTGCACCAGCTTTTAACTTCATTTAAAAGCAAATTTACTTAAATTTATTTTAAACTTAGTCCTAACCATGCACAAAACTTTTCTCAGGGCCCACTTTCCACAGAACTTCTTATCACTTTCTGTACCCATTACTTTGTTCTTGCATCCTGAACAACCACGTGTAAGTCAGACTCACTTCCTTTTCCCTTCATTAAATGCAATTTCATTCCTCATACCTTCTTTATTAAAAACATACATCCTACTTTTCTTAAGCAACCAAGAACTGACCTTTATACTAGCATTCTGTAGATTGGTGAGCATAAATATCAGTGATAATTTCTAAAAAACCTTTGCTTTCTTATAGAAGACATCTCAGAGTAGCACCAAACATATTTATGAATAGTCCCAAATCTCTTTAGTTTCTCTGTAAAAGGAAGTTAGTGTTCAGTAATGAATATTTTACAATCTTATTTTATTTGGAAATGATCTAGGTATTCAATAAACTTCTGTCACTTAGTTTAGCACAACTGTAAAAATTCAGGTTACCAAGATCTGGAGAGACTATTTTAGACATACATTTCTTAAAGTATATTTATTCCTAATGGAGTTTATCTAAAAGCTCATATCATTTGCATATTATTTTTTAGAAGTTTCTTCACTCAAAATACTTTCCTTGTTGATAAACATGTAATAGATATAAAATACAACAGTATTTAACTTATGTTAAACCTAAGCACAATGAAAATATTATGCTTAATGTTAATGACTTGACATGTCTATATTAGATTAGCAAACAAACATTAATACTAGATACTTAATATTGAATATTTCCCATTTCACGTGAACCTCAGATTCATTCAGTTAAGTTTCTCTTGTATTTAGAATTGTTTGATTTGTAAGCAATTACTTTTCTTTAGGCCAGTTAAATTAGAGCTCATTTACATCTTAACTTCAGTATTATCAAAAAATAAAGATACACACTGAGAAATACATAAATCCAGAGGGACAGATAGAGACCTCATAGTTTTCCAGTTAACATTTAAAATGTCTCTTTGATGCTTTTTTTTTCTTGGCTTGAAGTTCTAATTTGACCAAGGCTGAGGTCTCAGGCAAAGTGGACTGTGTATCAAGGACATGGCAAGGGTTAAAATCAAGCTTTTCCCTAGGCAGGCCTTTTTAACAAGCTAGTTGTTTTTAATTGCATATGCAAAAAGAACTGTTTTTGCAAGTTTCCAAGAAAAAAAATTTCATTTTAACCAGTTTTCTCCAGAGTCTAAACAATATATGGCCATCCTGTGTCAAAAAGTCATCTTTTCTTTCTGTAGTGATAGTTTTATAGCTAAAATATAGACCAAATAGTGGTCAAATTGACTGTCATGCCAGGGGCAGATCAGCTGATAAAATTCTTGGATTGCCTGTCTGGGAGAAGTGGGGACTTGTTTGATCAGAAGAATCTGAAGGAGTAAGGGAATTTGCAAGGGTAGGAAAGGAAGCTTGGTCCCTCTCCACCCTGAAAGACAGGAGTAGTTAGAAGGGAATTCTCTAGAATGTTCAGGAGAGTTTTTGATCCCTCAGGCTTTTGAATATAGGAGAAAGACCTGGACCAAAGGGAATCTCAGAATCCTTTCCTAGTCTCCAACAATAGATATCAAATGTAGATAGGAAAGGTTGAGTAGGGGTCGTCTAGGAAATCTGATGGAGAAGGGGGCAGAGGGGAATGGGATAGGAAAGCAACAGAAAGACAGATGCAGCGTAAGCCCCTCAAATTCAGATTCTGACTAAGGTCCATGAAGGACTGAACATAAGGAAAGTCTGAGTCCTTTCCCTGATTTTGGCAAAAGAGATCAAGTTGAAGGATCATGCTACAATCTAGTGTGCCATTCAGAATACATTTTTTTTGGTCCCCCCAGTTTGTATTGGGTCCAGGCCTTTTGCAGGGTCAGATTTTTCCGGTTCCAGAGAATGTAGCCAAGGGGTGAGTCTGAGACAGAGGCTCCCAGGATGTACCAGAACCCACTGGTAGCCTACATGCCATAGAATGGGGGTCGTGAGGGTCACCAGCTGACAGAAAGGCGTCCCTTTTGTTCCAGTGATCTCTCCGTGTGACTGATGGCACAAAATGACTGACCGTCCCAACAGGTGCATCTGACAGTGAGAGGTAACCCCTGAGAACTGTTCAGCTAAGGTACCATGTGACCTGGGCAGAGAAAGAGATTCTCGGGAGCGACCGGGAATTTGGAATTCACCATTTGGCATTTCCCTGAAATGTGGAGGGCACTCTTGGAATGGCTCAGAGGCAACACCTAGGCTCCTGTAAATCAATCCAGATTAAAAAGGAAAGAAGTGAAAGTGACAGGGAAGATAGGCTGAGGAATCCACCTTATGATCTTGCTGGGGAGGCGGTGGCCAGGGGGCGATGGGCTGTGTTTTGATTTAACCACTATGTGCCTGGCATGAAGCATGGAAGTTGTCTTGCTAGGGGGTAGATGCCCTTGTGGTGTGATTCATTCCATGGCTCCCTTATCCTCACACGGGTGTCTTCATGTGGCAGGCTCCATAGTGGCTTTTAAGTGCCTGGCCTATGCCCACACAATATTGGTTGGCCTAATCCTCAGAAAGGAGTCAAAAAGGAGAGACCTTCACCCATCTGGGCGGCAGCTACTGGGATGCCATGAGCAGTGGGGCCTTTGGAATACACCAGTGGGTAACCCTTTCCAGACGACCTCAGTTGCCTCCACAGCCACTTGCCCTGTTTGCAGAGATCCCTATGAGAAATGAGAGGCCAGGAGGTGGGGGAAGAGACCCTAAGTCTCCACACAGGCAACCAAAAATGTTGTGGTCTGTGCACAGGTTGGAAAAGAATTTCCAGACATGAGTAAGAATGAGAGGAGAATAAAATTAGAGTGGGAGAGGCCATTAGAACAGTGGGCTGGCTCAAGGGAGAGCTGAACACTTTTACAGGCTTGTAGCCAATTTTTATAGCCTCAAGACAGGAAATTCCTACTGGAATGGTGGCATTAGGTGATTGGTTAGGATGCTATAGAGTGGGTATTTTACAGAAACGGGGTCAGGGTGCTGGCTGGTTTAGATACAGAGGCTCATGGCAACAGTGACTGTGGGGCTTCATCAGTTCCAGAAATTTCTATCCTGTGACCTTGGTACAGGGCTCCATACCTATGACCTCAGTTTAGGGCTCCACAGTAAGCATTCAAGAGCGTTGGCTGCTGTTTTTACCAGGTATAGATAAGCAAAAAGACTATTACAATTCAGAGTGAAAATGTGATAGAAGAGTATTGTGATGGTAGAGGAGTAGATGAGGTTCTGTAGAAACTGAACCTGGGAAAATCAGTTCCATTTGTGGTGAGACCTTGGTGTTAAATTGCTCTGCAGGGTGCTAGGAGTCTTCCAGACAGAAGGGAAAGTGCGTGTAAAGGCAAATAGATGGGGAAACAATGGAAATAGTGACAGACTTTATTTTCTTGGGCTCCAGAATCACTGCAAATGGTGACTGCAGTCATGAAATTAAAGGACACTTGCTCCTTGGAAGAAAAGCTATGACCAACCTAGACAGCATATTAAAAAGAGACATTACTTGGCTGCCAAAGGTCTGTATAGTCAAAGCTATGTTTTTCCCAGTAGTCATGTATGGATGTGAGAGTTGGACTATAAAGAAGGCTGCACACTGAAAAATTGATGCTTTTGAACTGTGGTGTTGGAGAAGACTCTTGAGAGTCCCTTGCGCTGCAAAGAGATCCAATCAGTTCATCCTAAAGGAAATCAGTCCTGAATATTCATTGGAAGGACAGATGCTGAAGCTGAAGCTCCAATAGTTTGACCACCTGATGCAAAGAGCTGATTCATTGGAAAAGACCGTGATGCTGGGAAAGATTGAAGGCAGGAGGAGAAGGGGATGACAGGATGAGATGGTTGGATGGCATCACCGACTCAATGGACATGAGTTTGAGCAAGCTCTGGGAGATGGTGAAGAACAGGGAAACCTGTTGTATTGCAGTCCCTGGAGTCGCAAAGAGTCGGACACAACTGAGCAACTGATCAACAACAAGAACAACAAGGTTATGCAGCTTTTAAGTGGCAGGACCAGGATATGAACTAGTACAGTGACCACTGAGCCCACACTTTTACATTAAGATGAGAATGGCATGCCAAAGGCAGAATTAGGTCCCAGAAGATCAGATATAAACATCATTGTCAAATTATGCAAAGGGATCAACTTGGTTGAGATCAGAAAAAGACAATCGGTTGGGTCTTCGGGTAAAGATGGCAGAGCGTGGTTACAGCTTTTCGCTGACTGCATTCAGCCCGTCTGGTAAACTTGTCCAGATAGAATACGCTTTGGCTGCTGTAGCTGGAGGAGCTCCTTCAGTGGGAATTAAAGCTGCAAATGGCGTGGTCTTGGCAACTGAGAAGAAACAGAAATCCATTCTGTATGATGAATGAAGTGTCCACAAAGTGGAACCAATCACCAAGCATATAGTGTATATATATGTGTATAGTGTATAGTAGCATGGGCCCAGATTACAGGGTACTTGTGCACAGAGCTCGAAAACTAGCTCAACAGTACTATCTCGTTTACCAAGAACCTGTTCCCACAGCTCAACTGGTCCAGAGAGTAGCTTCCGTGCTGCAGGAATATACCCAGTCAGGTGGTGTTCGCCCATTTGGAGTTTCTTTACTTATCTGTGGTTGGAATGAGGGACGGCCATATTTATTTCAGTCAGATCCATCTGGAGCTTACTTTGCCTGGAAAGCCACAGCAATGGGAAGGAACTATGTGAATGGGAAGACTTTCCTTGAGAAAAGATATAATGAAGATCTGGAACTTGAAGATGCCATTCATACAGCCATATTAACCCTAAAGGAAAGCTTTGAAGGGCAGATGACAGAAGATAATATAGAAGTTGGAATCTGCAACGAAGCCGGATTTAGGAGGCTTACCCCAACTGAAGTTAAGGATTATTTGGCTGCCATTCATAATCAAATAATGAAGTGACTGAAAATGCAGAATTTTAGATAACTTCTCTACTTAAACATGTTTAAAGTATGTTTTGTTTTGCAGACTTTTTGCATACTTATTTCTACATGGTTTGATGGACTGATGTTTTTAAAATGAGACCAGATAAACCTGCGAGTCCCAAGTTTATAGTGATGCTGGACGGTGTCCCCAGCCCCCCAGGATACATGTCAGATCAAGAGGAGGACATGAGCTCTGAAGGAATGAGAGCCGCCCAGCACCCTGCAGCCTCACACGGGGGACTCGCGGGTCTGCTCCGCCCGCCGCACGCCCGCGTGCTGAGCAGGCAGCTTGAGGACCCAGATGGTAGCTTTGCAAACGCTGAGATGAGTGAGCTGAGCGTGGCGCAGAAGCCAGAGAAGCTGCTGGAGCGCTGCCAGTCCTGGCCTGCCTGCAAGAACGGGGACGAGTGCGCTTACCATCGCCCCGTGTCGCCTTGCGAAGCCTTTCCCAATTGTGAATTTGCTGAGAAGTGTCTATTTGTTCATCCAAATTGTAAATATGATGCAAAATGTACTAAACCAGATTGTCCCTTCACTCACATGAGCCGAAGAACCCCAGGACTGCCTCCAAAACCAGTCACAGCACCAGCACCGCCTTCCAGTAGTCAGCTGTGCCGCTACTTCCCAGCTTGTAAGAAAATGGAGTGTCCCTTCTATCATCCGAAACACTGTAGGTTTAACACGCAGTGTACGCGACCTGACTGTACGTTCTATCACCCCACCATTACTGTGCCACCGCGACATGCCTTGAAATGGGTTCGACCTCAGACCAGTGAATGATACCCAGTCCTACCTGACGGAAGACTGTGGCGTTTGAAAGTTTCCATCTACTGATGAAAGACATTCTGCAGAATTTGTCAAATCTTGGAAACTTGGAATATATTGCTTTCATAATATGAAGTTTATTGCCTATCTGAAGTGTCTAATTTTTCAAGTTTGTAAGTTTATTAAGTGATTTTAACATTGGGTCTTTGTTGTTTTGTTTTGACTGTGGAAAGACAGTTTAAGGAAAAGCTGAAATCTATTAAAACATTTGAGGCATGTTTGTAAAAAAAATAAAAATAAAAAATAAAATGAGACTTATAAATCATAATAAACTCTTAAATTAAAAAAAATTTAAAAAAAAGAAAAAGACAATGGATTTGCCAATTCAGAAGCTATTACTTAAGAAATATTTATCATACCAGTTGCATGTTGGGAGTGGAAACTAAATTGTTGTGGATTAATGTATTAATTGAATTAAACTCTATCTAGTGACGCTCTTACTCTAGCTAACTACTCTAGTTCCTCCAGTCATCTTAAGTTACTCCAACATTCTTTGCCTTTTCCATCTTAGGAACCTTTGGCTAGGCTAGTCTCCTCTAAAATGTTGGTTCTCTTAACTCTTTCTGTGATTGGCACCGGTTCGTTCAGATCTTGGCTTTATTGTAAACTCCTCTGATACATTTTCCTTGGTAGTTTATAAAAAATAAATTTTATTTTTTTATTGTTGTTTTCAGTCATTAAGTCATGTTTGATTCTTTGCGACCTAATGAACTCCTGCACACCAGGCTTCCCTGTCCTCCACTATCTCCTGAGTTTGCTCAAACTCATGTCTGTTGAGTCTATGATGCCATCCAATTATCTTATCCTTGTTGTCCCCTTCTCCTCTTGCCCTCAGTCTTTCCCAGCATCAGGGTCTTTTTCAGTAAGTCGAAGCTTCATATCAGGTAGCCAAAGTGTCACCCCCTTCTCCTCTTGCCCTCAGTCTTTCCCAGCATCAGGGTCTTTTTCAGTGAGTTGGATCTTCTCTTCAGGTGGCCATAAATAGTATTTGCTTCCTCTGAGGCATATGTCACAATTTGGAATTATGCATTGACTTATCAGTTTATTGTTACTCTCCCCAACTGGTTATGACTCCATGAAGGTAGGATTTGTTCTTCAAGTTTCTACCCCTAGCCTAGTGCCTTGAACACAGTAGTTGCCAAATAAATATTGTTGCTTGTATCAGTGAAGGAACATTTCCTATTTATATAGATAATACTGAGCTGTTTTGTTTTCTTGAGAATAATCAATCTCTGAGAGATGGATAGGGAGGAAAGCAAAGTCAACACAGCTTAAAAAAAAACTTTAGAGCTACCATTTCTTGAAAGTGTCACATGTTCAGTAAGCATGCATTTTTTTCACATTACACAAATAACGTTTTAGGAATATAGGTGCCTGCCTTTATGGTTCTTTGGATGTTGCTAAGGTGTTTTCATTGGTTAGTATCCCAGTTTTATTTTCCTTATTGACTCAAGAGGACTTAAACTAAAATTGAGCAAGAAGGGAAAGTTCTTGATAAAACTGTAAGGGAAAAATGAAAACAACAGTTCATGTCTTCAAAAAGTATAGAGTCAAATGAAAAAGGCTATCAAAGTAATCAATGGCCTATATTATATAGCACAGTAAAAGAGATTGTAAAAGTAAAAGAGGATGAGATGGTTGGATGGCATCACAGACTCGATGGACATGAGTCTGAGCAAGCTCCGGGAGTTGGTGATGATCAGGGAGGCCTGGTGTGCTACAGTCCATGGGGTCGCAGAGTGTTGGATGTGACCAAGAGACTGAACTGAACTGAACTGAAAGGAGGTTGTAATAGGGATAAAGGAATCAAAACAACTGTTGAATATAAATGGAGAAGACAACTAGAGCTATCTGCCAATAGAGGTAGTTTGTTCTGAGTGTCTAAAGAGAGAGTAGTAATTTTGTTGGAGACATTTCTTCCTTCGTAGGAAGACTGGACATGGTCTCTCAGTTCCTCCCAATTTTAAGATTCTGTGAGATTAAGCTAGGGGAGAAAAACATGCTTGATCTTGAAAGATTGAGAACTTAGGTGAAAAGATGGGGAAAGGACTCAGCCCTCCTTTTTTCCTCTTGAGATGTATATGTTGTGTAGATATAATAGACAGACATAGGGACATTATTTTTTTTGTTTATAAACATTTCTAGTAACAATAATGAAGCTTCTTTGTAAAAAGGCTCAGAAATACTAAAACAATGCTTTTCTTGAAAGATTTTTTTAAGTTTATCAAAGAAAGGTTTGATTATATCAAAAAATCTGAAAGGAAGTCTACTGCAATGGCATTAAGGCATAGTAAGCTATAGTTGACCTTTGACATTTGCAAGGTTGTCACTATAGCATGTAATTTCCTTCATTTCCTTGTGTAACAATAGTATAATTTTCCTCTATTTCTATGTGTTAAATGAGAATCATGAATCCAGTTGAGATGTAAGTGTTTGGCAGGGCTTACTAGCTCTGAGAACCTCTTAACATATCAGTTCAAAAACAATTTGAGCTTTTGGTTCAGCAAAATGGCAAGTCACTATAAGAAAGGGTGCTTTTGAATAGTTCAGTTAGTGTTAAATCCTTAAGTGCTCTTTTCCTTATTCTTTGCCTGACAGTCATTTTTATTCATCTTTTATATTTTAATATAAATGTCATGTTTCTTAGAAGAGGTCTCAGAACAATAAAATAAAATAGACATTTCTTATTTTTATCCTGCTACACCTTCAACACATTTGCATGTTAAGTCTTTGTTTTGATATATTCTAAGAAAATCATTTAAATATGGAAATATTAAGAAAAATCATTATGCTTTGTAATATGTAATAGTTATACAGTTAGATCTAACTATATAATACCACAATCTGAAATAATTTTACATATATATTTATTTTTTTACAGATATGTTTTCTGAAATTCTGAATCATGAGTCTCGCACTTAATGATCTGCTTATTTGCTGCCGTCAACTAGAACTTGATAGAGCTACAGAGCGAAAGGTAGTAAGTTACTTAAATTTAATCTTTCCTTGAAACAAATGTGTGATTGGTAACTCATTATTTTGTTCTTTTTTATTTTCAGAGAGAGATTGAGAAATTTAGGCGCCTGATTCAGGATCCTGAAACTGTTCGACATTTAGATCATCATTCAGATTCCAAACAAGGGAAATATTTGAATTGGGATGCTGTTTTTAGGTATTCGATTCTAATTCTTTTTTCTGTCTTTATTTTTCTCTTTCATTTTTATTTCTGTTGTGATATTTTTGTGTGTGTATAGGTCAGCTTATCTTTGCTCCCTGTATATCATTGTGCCTTGCATAGGAAATTGATGCTCAGTATTTATCTGAAACATAATTTTTAAAGGACATTCATATAAAAAAGTTAAGATTTTTGAATTATATGTTCAATAAAATCTTTGACATATCTCACTCAAGATGACAGAATTTCTTTCATATTACTTCATTCATAAGACTTTATTTCAAATTAGTAAAATTAAGTTATATTAAGTCCTTTATAACTTTGGCATCTTTAAATATTGCTCTAAGTAACTGCCATATATAAATATAATAAAAAATAAAAAGGAATTTTAGAAAAATTCCATATGAATGCAGGTAACAAAACTCATGCTTTGGAAAGATACAATTCATTACTTGACTGGAGTGGCAAACAGAATGGATGCTTTTATATAAAAGACATAATTTTAAATTATGAAATCCATTCATAACTAGAAATAGGTGGTAAGACTTAGGAAAGATAAAGTATTTTAAAGTAACATAGAATACTGATAAACTTGAAAGAACATTTTCAGTCTAGGGAAATAGGAGTATATATTCATTCTTGAGTGTTTAGAATAGATAATCTATTTTATTTTTTAGGTCTTATTTGGCACTAGACAGACCATTGTCCTCAATGACCTTCATTGTGGATAACATGAAAAATACATACTTCTTTTCCTGTGGTTTCTTACTTTATTTTAGATACCACAAATAATTTTTGTTGTTTTAGTCACTTATTCCTGTCTCTTTTGTGACCCCATGGACCCTAGCCCACCAGGCTCCTCTGTCCATGGGATTTCCCAGGCAGGAATACTGGAGTGGGTTGCCATTTCCTCTGCAGGGGATCTTCTTGACCCAGGTTTTGAATCCACATCTCCTGCATTGGCAGGCAGATTGTTTTCCACTGAGTCCCCAGAAAAGACTAACAAATATAACAAAAATAGTTATTATCTAAAGATGAATATTTTGCATAAGATGATCATGTAGGCCATCTGAGTACCTAACACTCCTGGCTAATCATGAATATCTTATGGGCAGACTTCATTTAAATTAAGGCTAGAAACCTTACCAACTCTTTAGGAAGGAGGTTCCTATTTTGCTGAAAGTTTTACTTTTGTCTTAGGTTCAAAGGATTTGTTAACAAAAGAAATCACTTGTTACAAATAAATAAGTTCAACTTTTAATAGATGATAATTTAACTTAATTTTAGTTCAGTTCAGTCACTCAGTTGTGTCCGACTCTTTACAACCCCATGAACTGCAGCACACCAGGCCTCCCTGCCGGGGTCCAGCCTCGGCAGGATCCAGGGGGATACCCTCAGGATGAACGGCGTCGGCAAGAGAGAGAAGGGGAGAGAGAGAGAGAGGACACGTGAGACCAGCCTTGATAGGGCCAAGTCTGTGTTTTACTTTTTGACAACAGGTTTTATACCCTTTCTCAGAACGTTTTTAAGGTATAAGATGCTTACTTATGATTACACTGGATTAGTATTACATCATTTTGTTTTTTAGGAAAAGCAGGATTTTGTTGCTTGCTAATTCTACAGTAATTCTTAGCACATGATCTTCTGGCCTTGAGGCTATTAACATTTTATGCAGGTCAGGTGAATGTAAACCTATTTTCCGTTTTTATGGTGACCTTAACTGAACGGTAGCAGTCTCATAGGGCAGTAGGACAGAGTAGAATTATATTTTTGTTAATACAAAAATTAACCCTTCTGCAAAAGTTATCAGTTGTGTTTATCTAGGAAGTTTACCCCATACTGACTCTGTGACTTTGGTGAGGCAGCTTCTGCCTAGCACTCCTGGCTGACAATTAACAACCATCTCATTGTTACCACACTAGGGCTAAGTTCTTATTTCTCTAGATCTTTAACTATATTAACAATAGTTTCTATAACACAACCTTAGCACATTAAAAGCAAAAACACAGCAAGCGAAACACAGCAACCAATCTCAACCCAATAACCACCTATAGAATAATTTTTCTTATGTTTTCTAATAGGGCTCCTTTACCCCTTAAAAAGGCTCTATGTCTATTAGGGCTTTTATATAATCAGGTTCTTTATGCTATTTTATGATTAGGATATTATAAGCAATCATGCATATTAGTACCAAGGGCATAAATGCATTTGGCTAACAAACTGCCAGCAAAGGAGTTTAAATTAAAACACTCCTTTCACCCTGGATAATCTCATAAAATACCACCACCTGGGAAACTTATTGATTAAAGTTCTAAATTGATTCTTATTTGGGAAGAGATCGGGGAAGGCCTTCTGCCTGTGTCACAGAAATTAGGGAGTAGTCTATTGAGGCAGGCATCAGAAAGACAGATATCATCTTTAAGGTGAGTGCTGGGGGCAGCTTTTCGAAATCCCTGAAAACCTGATCTGTCTTGCCTGTCAGGCTTTCTCCTCATGACCTTGTCATGGGTGGGATCTCATGAGCTGGCCTTTTCAAAACCCCTAAAAACCTGATCCGCCTTGCCCGTCAGGTTTTCTCCCTCATGGCCTTGTCATGGGTAGGGTCTTGTGAGCTGGCTCCCGGGACCTCCTCGTCCATCACCAACTCCCAGAGTTTACCCAAACTCATGTCCATTGAGTTTGTGATGCCATCTAACCATCTCATCCTCTATCATCCCCTTCTCCTCCTGCCTTCCATCTTTCCCAGCATCAGAGTCTTTTCAAATGAGTCAGCTCTTCGCATGAGGTGGCCAAAATATTAGAGTTTCAGCTTCAACATCAGACCTTCCAGTGAACACCCAGGACTGATATCCTTTAGGATGGACTGGTTGGATCTCCTTGCAGTTATTAAAAGAACAGAAATAGAAATAATAGAGAAGAGTAACAGCACATACATCACCAAATTGGGCCAACCAACATTCAGACTTAAACAGTGCTGGGAAGTCCCTTGTTAACAGCAATCTGGAGTCCCAATTGGGAAAAGGTCCTGGGCTGTACGTCCACCCCATGGGTGAGACTTCAAATTGCTAGTTTAGGGGCTCCCACTTATAATCCCAGGCCACAAGCTGATACCATCTTCAGTTTGCTTGTGCAAATGAAACCCTGATTTAATTTTTACAATGTGGTTTCATCTTGTGAGTCATAAAACTTTGTAGACCCTGGGGGACTGACCAGGTCCTCAGGGGCGTAAGAGATTCCAAGATCCACTCCTTTCTTATCTAAAGTGCCCCCTGGCTTGTTGTAATTGCAGGCAGGTATGAAACCGAGGCAGTGTCCAGGCAGATCAGAAGCGGGTGACAGGCCTACTCTGTTGCTGCTGAAGCTTGGACAAGACTTCCTCCATTTTAATTTCCTTAATAGTAGGTCATGTAGGTCATGTAATACACACACACATACACACACACAGGTCATGTACTAAATAACAGAAAGAGGTGAGAAAGAATTGAGAGCCCTTAATTGTTTTGCAAGCTTTTAATGATAAATGAGAAAGCAAGCAGGAAAGCAGTAGAAAATCGTGGAAGTTAACAGATTAAGAACTTTGTAGACCAGACTTTAAATTGGTGTTGAGGGCTTGGCCTTGCAAATGTAATTGTTTTGGTTAATGTACATTGTTTGAAGAAGTGTGGTTTCAAAATGCTCTTTATGATGGCATGAAGAACATTTTGAAAGTATTAAAATAATGTTAGTATTTAACAAGTTTCTGGAATTCCATTTCATGTTTTTGAAGGTTTTTACAGAAATATATTCAGAAAGAAACAGAATGTCTGAGAACAGCAAGACAAAATGTATCAGCCTCAACACAAGCCACCAGGCAGAAAAAGATGCAAGAAATCAGTAGCTTGGTCAAATTCTTCATCAAATGTGCAAATAAAAGTAAGTGCTGTTACTTGGCTTAATGGGTTATTGTTTCATGAGTTTGGTCTGAATAGGGTGAGATAAAAGTTGAGTACTAACTCTGATTTCTAGTACATATAATGATTTTTATTATTATAGCTTCAAATATTTGGAGGAATTTATACAAGCATAGTGAAAAAATGAATTTGAAAGTTGCTCAGTCATGTCTGACTCTTTGCAGTCCCATGGACTATACAATATTCTGCAGGCCAGAATACTGGAGTAGATGGCCTTTTCCTTCTCCAGGAGATCTTCCCAACTCAGGGATTGAACCCAGGACTCCCTCATTGCAGGTGGATTCTTTACCAGCTGAGCCACAAGGGAAGCCTGTTATACAAGCATAGAATGATAAGATCTCAGGGTTGAAAGAATTAAAAAATATTATTTCTGGAGAAGGAAATGGCAACCCACTCCAGTATTCTTGCTTGGGAAGTCCCATGGACAGAAGAGCCTGGCCGTCTACAGTCCATGACTGAGCGACTAAATAACAATTTTTTTTTTTTACTCTAAAAGATAATGTCATGGTTTTCAGAGGTGCTTTTGTAGCTTGAGGGATGGTTTGATCAGCCTTTTAAATCTGAACACTTAACACAGCTCTCAGATCCTCCTGGATCCCCATCCTTTCCTCACATGCAGGTGTCTAGGCTGCTGGCAGCCACTGGGTCTGAAATGCGATCTCCATTGCCTCCGCTTCCGCTGGCAGACAGAATTACATCCTCCTTTTTTTCTGTATCAGCTGCAGTTTAGAAAGAAATGAGTTTCCAGAGGCTACTGTAACAGGACCTCAATTATGGACTTGGTGTGGCAGGAATCTACTCGTTATAGCTTGGGAAAAAAAAAATTATTTCATCTACCCATTTTTCTTGAATCCCATCTATATGTCCCTGGCACTTAGATGGTCTCAATGATTAAACATACCTTTTGAGACTTCCTTTTCTATCTTAGAGTAGTTCTCATAGTAGGGAAAACTTGTCTGTTTGTTACTGCTTCTATTTTCTGAGTTAATACAGAAAAATACTAATCTTTTTAATATGACGTCCTTTGAGATGTTTGAAGTTAGACATGATATTTTCTGATTCCTCTTCTATAAGCTACATAGACCTGTTTCCTTTAGCTCATATAGCCTACTTTTGTATCACTTTTCTAAATCTTCTTCAGTTTAATTCTCTTAAAACGTGTGGGACTCAGTGTTATAGGCATATTCTGATTGGTATGGAGCGGAACAGGGCTTGGATATCTTTTATTCTATACTTTAACAAATTAATTCTAAGATCAATTAGCTTTTTTGGCAGTCAGAACCCATACTCAACCAGCACCGTGCTTATTATAAATAAAAAAAAAAAGACAAGTTCTTTTCTGCTCCTGATGAGCCGCATGGCTCTGATTTTATACTTACACGGTTAATGTTTTGAAAAGCTGATATTTTTGAACCAGAATACAGAAATTGCTTTCTGTAAGGAAATGGTTGTCATACAATGCTAAAAAGCTAGAAGCAGAACTATTTGTTTAGGAACTTGAACTCAAACTGTTTACTCTTCACAAATAAGAAAGTGACTTTGTGATGCCAAGTTTAGTTTAAGAATCAGAAAAGCCGAATACGGGTAAACATTATTAAGTAGAAGGTTATAGAATTGTTAGTAAATGATACTTCAGACTGGTAGGATGAAAGTTGAGTCTAAAGACAATGGCTTTAGCAAAAATTTAGTTTTCTATCTCCTCTGAGATGCCATTTCATGTGGACAGCTCCAAGTCCTGAGAAGAGACTCTAGCACAGACAAAAGAAAACCACACTGAAATGTTTTTGCACCTATTTTTTCTCTGCATCTATTAAACTTTGTATTCTTGGCTACTACTGCTGGGCTCTTAATAGATCTTAATCTGGTCTTACAGAGTTTATGATTGAATGAAAGATGCTTGTAGCACATTTGTAGCCCATCAGAAAAGTATGTAGCTTAGAATTTTGCTTTAAAGTGAAAAAAACCCTTCTATTGCAAAATTAACAATGGGGATCACATTTTAAAGTGTATTTTTTTAATTGCTTCTCGGCCTTTTGGCTAAGATCAAGTGTAAAGTGTATTTTTATTTAAGGCTTTTTTTTCTTTCGAGTTTCACTTTGTAACTTAAACATTGTTAAACTCAGAACAAAACCAGGCTGCTACTATCATGTTATCTCACTTCTTAAATTTTTTTTTTCAAATGGTTTGAGGGTTGATGGGAATTTAACACGTGTCTAAATTTTGCCAGACTTGCTTAGCATCTAAGATTTGGTGAAAGGAACAGAGATGAGAAAAAAAGAGGTAGCTGGAAAGGAACCAGTAAGCAAATATTGTTCAACTATGACAGAAGTTATAGTTAAGAAAATGTTACAAAGACTATAAGAGAGAAATGCACAGGGTGTTACAGCAGAGGATGTTATGATTGTGCATTTCATCATTAGCCAGATTTCTAAAATTATAACCCAAGTCATTAGTAAAAATAATATTTTAGCCAAAAGGCCAGGGAGCAATGATTTTTTTAGTTGTACCAGTATATTTTTATTTACCATACTTATATACTGAATACAACTAGTCTTATCATAAAAAACCCCTAAACTAGTATATATTCAGATGTACATAATGACTTGCTCATAGCTTACAACAAATAATATATATGCAATTTTAAGGTTGTTAATAGTGAAATATGAAAAATTTCAGCTATGACACCAGCATGATTTACTGTAACAAAAATAACTAAGTGATTTTTAAATGTATTTTGTTACCTTTAAGAATATATCCATTATATATATATGTATATTATATAAAATGTATATATGTATATATATACAAAACTTTCAGGACCGCTAATAAACAAAACTAAAAATTATAGCCTTATATATATTGGTAAGCAATAAATGCTATTATAGGACTTTAAAGTAATTTTGCTTTTCAAAGTAAAGAGTAGTCTCCTTAATGTCTTATTCTAATAAATTCAGATTTATATTAAAAACACCAGGAACCTTTGAATCATTTTAGGTCTAATGTCAGAAATTGTGAATTATTAAGGATAGAGTGAATGATTGTTTTTGTTATATAATCCTACAGATTTGGCAGACTAGCAGATTGGTAAAGGGACCAGATAGAAATGTTTTTGAGTTTTGCAGGCTATGTCATCTCTGTCTCAGCTGCTCAACTTTGCCGTTTTAGCATGAAAGTAGCCATAAACAATATGTAAGTTAATAGATATGTCTGTGGTCTGATAAAACTTTGTTTTAAAAAACAGATGATTGGCTGAATTTTGCCCCAAGGGCCATAATTTTCTAATCACTCTTTTATGAGAAGAAGGTTCATACAATTGCTGTTCCAAGCATCCTTAACATATTTTTCTTGAGGTTTATGTTTCTACTTGTTTATTTTTAAATAGGAGCACCCAGGCTGAAATGTCAGGAACTGTTGAATTACATCATGGATACAGTGAAAGATTCATCCCATGGTGCTATTTATGGATCTGATTGTAGCAATATATTGCTGAAGGACATTCTTTCAGTGAGGAAATACTGGTGTGAAATATCTCAGCAACAGTGGCTTGGTATGTTTTGAAGTTTGTTGTTTGTGATTTTTTTCTTTGTGAAATGAAATTTCGCCAAAAGAGCATTGAGAGACTATATATATCTCCCAAGCGACCTCACAGTTTAACAGTACCTTGGTAAAATTAAATGGTTATAGATTTTAACAGCTTTTATATATTACGTACTTCCTAAATTGTTGTCACTAATAATATATTTGGTGCCTGGTATCAGAACTTAAATTGCAGAATTGAAAGATGCCATACTTTTCCTCAAAGACTTGGCAGTCCAGTGACAGAAAAAAACAAAGTAAACCAAAAGTTAGAAGGAAGTGAGTTCACATATCAGTGACAACTAAACTCAACAATGATTAGAGTAGAAAGAAGAAAACCAAGAGAGAGAGGCGTCATAAAAGGGAAAGCAAGAGAGTTTCACGTTGGAAGAGATGTGGCATTTCAAGTGTTGTAGTAAGACACAGAAGTATCAATTGGATTAGGCAGTTAGTAGGTCACTGGTAAGGTGCTGTGTGGTGCTTAGTCACTCAGTTGTGTCTGACTCTTTGCGACTGCATGGACTGTAGCCCACCAGGCTCCTCTGTCCATTGGGATTCTTCAGACAAGAATACTGGAGTGGGTTTCCATGCCCTCCTCCAGGGGATCTTCCCAGCTGAGGAATTGAACCCAGGTCTCCTGCATTGCAGGTGGATTCTTGTCCGAAAAATACTATAATAGAATATATAGGACTCAGTGACTTAGAAGGTAAGTAGAATGGGATGGATGCCAGCGAGGTATTGTTGACAGTTTCTAGGTGAGAAGTACTATGTGACCACAAAGGAAATTTGGTCAGAGACTGACATATTTGAGTTTATTGATTTCAGAGGTAGAGTATTTCTGGCTCTGGGTGGGCTAAATGGGTGGAAATGATATTTGGCTTTAACGAGGTGACTTTAAGCCAGGTGTCAAAGTCTTCTAATATAGTTGCCTCTGAAAATTTAGAAACTCAGTATTTTTCATTGAGAAGTATTCAAGATAAGTTGTGATAACTTAATAGACATTTATCTGTATTTTTTTTACTGTCAATTTATCATTTCAAAATAAGATGTTTATGGACTGTAAAACCATGACCTAATCAGTGCCCTGCACTGTATTCTACTGTTCCTACATGAATAAATGTCTTCTCAGCTATCGCTTAATTTCTTATATATCTGGGGCCTTTGCTGTTTTTCTGAACACAAAGGAAGTTGTGTCTCAAACGGGGCCTCAGAAAGCCTAGTAGCAGCCTTTGGAGAATAGGCCAGTGATGTCTAGGATACTTCAGCACATCTGTCACCAAAATAGTTCAGCCTAAATATTTAGGATATTTGTACATTTTAGATTATTACTTGTAACGATGAGTCTCTCTGAAAAATAGGCAATCATTCCTCTAGTGTCTGTATAATGATTCCATCACCTGGCACTTTCTCTGAAATTCTCTATTTCTAAGGAAACTACTTCCACTTGTAAAAATCAGTTGTTTTGTTGAATTTTTCTAGTTAGTTACCTTCTCTGAAATTTACTTGTCTAATGAAACTCTGCTCAAGAGGTGTTTACATTCAAAATATATTTGGTAGAAGTGGCTATCGAAGCCATTGTTATGGATGAAATTGTCTAGGTAGAGAGTTTAATATGAGATGAGGATGGCTATTGAAGCCATTGTTATGGATGAAATTGTCTAGGTAGAGAGTTTAATATGAGATGAGGATGGCTATTGAAGCCATTGTTATGGATGAAATTGTCTAGGTAGAGAGTTTAATATGAGATGAGGAGGTGGCTTAAGACTAAACCAACATTTCTATATATATTTTGGAATCAGCATGTTAATTTCTACAAAAAGTCCTGCTGCTGCTGCTGCCAAGTTGCCTCAGTCGTGTCCGACTCTGTGTGATACCATCGAGAGCAGCCCACCAGGCTCCCCCGTCCCTGGGATTCTCTAGGCAAGAGTACTGGAGTGGGTTGCCATTTCCTTCTCCAATGCCTGAAAGTGAAAAGTAAAAGTGAAGTCGTTCAGTTGTATCCAACCGGTAGCGACCCCATGGACTGCGGCCTACCAGGCTCCTCTGTCCATGGGATTTTCCAGGCAAGAGTACTGGAGTGGGTTGCCATTGCCTTCTCCACAAAAAGTCCTGGAGCAGTTTTATTTGGATTGTTTTGACCCTGTTGAACAATTTAGGAGAGCTAGACATCTTAACAGCATAGTCTCTTCCAGTCCATGAGTATGATATATCTCTCCATTTATTTAGGTCGTTTTTGATTTATCAGCATATGCAGAATTTGTATAGTTTTGTTAGATTTGTACTACTGTAGTTGGTAAATTTTACTGTCTTTTAAAAACATTTTCTTTCCATATTGTTCAGAAATACCATACCGTTCTGCAACCTTGCTAAAATCACTCACTTATTGGGTCTAACACCTCTTTTGTTCATTCTGGGAAATTTTCTGTTTAGACAGTTGTATCATCTGCAAGAATTTTACTGAGCCATGTGGCCTGATTTCTTTTTTCGCCTTATATTGGCTAGGACCTCAGTATAAGTATTTTTTAATGATAAGATATGCATAACATAAAATTTACTGTTTTAACCATTTTTATGTATACAATTCAGTGGTATTAAGAATATTCGTTGTTGTGCAACCGTCACCACTCATTTCTAGAGCTTTTTTCTTCTTCCTAAACTGAAACTGTATCCACTAAATAAGAACCTGCCCTATGTCCTCCTCCAGCTCTTGGCAACTATTCTACTTTCTGTCTCTGTGAATTTGACTACTCTAGCTACCTCCTATAAATGAAATTCTACAATAGTTGTCCTTTTCTGAATGACTTATTTCACTTAGCATAATGTTCACATGTTGTAGCATTCATCAGATCAGAGTTTTCTTCCTTTTAAAGTCTTAATGATATTCCATCGTTAATATATACTACATTTTCTTTACCCATTCATCTGTCATTGGACACTTGGGTTGTTTGTATGTTAGGCAACCGTGAATAATGCTATTATAAACATGGGTGTACAAATAGATTTTTGTGCCCTTGCTTTCAATTCTTTTGGGTATATATTCAGAAGTAAAATTGCTGCATCATGTGGTGATTCTATGTTTAATTTTTTAACTACTTACCATATTATTTTCCACAAGGGCTACACCATTTTATATATTCACCAGCAATGGACAAGTGTTCCAATTTCTCCACACCCTCACCAGCACTTCATTTTCTTTCTTTTTTTTTTGATAATAGCCATCCTAATGTATGGTAAATATATGGAAAGTGGTATCTCATTGTAATTTTGGTTTATATTTCTTTAATGACTAGTGATGTCAAACTTTTCATATGCTTATTTGCCTATTTGTATATCATCTCTAGACAAAAGTCTATTCAAATATTTTCCCCAGTTTTTATAAGATTGGTTGTTGTTGGATTGTAGGAGTTCTTTATATACTTTGAATATTAATCCCTTATCAGATATATGGTTTGGAAATATTTTCTCCCATTCTTTTGCTGGAAGGGGGACCCCTTCCAGGGCCTGAAAGTGGGCTCTTGTCTTAACACTTGGAAAAGAATTGTTCAAGGAGACACATGTGCTGAAAAAGCGAGATATTTTATTGGGAAGAAGCGCCCAGGCAGAGAGCAGTAGAGTAAGGGAATCCAGGAGAACTGCTCTGCCATGTGACTTGCAGTCTCAGGGTTTATGGTGAGGGGGTTAGTTTCCGGGTTGTCTTTGGCCAGTCATTCTGACTCAGAGTCCTTCCTGGTGGCGCAAGCATTACTCGTCCAAGATGGATGTCAGCGAGAAGGATTTTGGGAGGTGGTTAAACACATGGTGTCACCTTTTGACCTTTTCTGAACTCTTCAAGTTCAGCTCATTTCAGTTCAGTCGCTCAGTCATGTCCCAAATCTTTGCGACCCCATGGACTGCAGCACACCAGGCTTCCCTGTCCATCACCAACTCCTGGAGCTTGCTCAAACTCATGTCCATCGAGTCGGTGATGCCACCCAACCATCTCATCCTCTGTCATCCCCTTCTCCAGTGGATTCTTCCAGTTGGTGGTGGCTTAATAGCTCTGTGTTCCTTACCAGGACCTCCTTCATAAAACAATTCATGCAAATGGTTGCTATGGTGTCTGGCCAGGGTGGGTGGTTTCCGTCAGTGTGCTTCCCCTAATAATTCCTTGCTGTTGTTTAGTTGCTAAGTCACGTCTGACTCTTTGCAACCCCACAGACTGCAGCACACCAGGCTTCCCTGGCCTTCACTCCTGGAGTGAAGTTTGTTCAAACTCATGTCCGTTGAGTCAGTGATGCCATCTACCACCTCATCCTCTGTCGTCCCCTTCTCCTCCCACCTTCAGTCTTCCCCAACATCAGGGTCTTTTCCGATGAGTCAGTTCTTCACATCAGGTGGACAGACTATTGGAGGTTCAGCTTCAGCATCAGTCTTTCAGTGAATATTCAGGGTTGATTTCCTTTAGGATTTACTGGTTTGATCTTCCTGCTGAAGAAGGGACGCTCAGGAGGCTTCTCCATCACCACAATTGGAAAGCATTAATTTTTCGGCACTTAGCCTTCTTTATGGGCCACCTCTCACATCTGTACATGACCACTGGAAAAACCATAGCTTAGACTATACAGACTTTTGTGGATTGCCTTTAATTCTGATGATAGTGTCCTTTGATGCACAAAAGGTTTTGATTTGATGAATACAGTTTATATGTTTTTTCTTTCGTTGCCTGTGCTTTGGGGGTCTTTTCCAAGAAATGATTGCCAAATACAGTTGCCAAATCCAAATGCCAAATCCAATGAAACTTTCTGCCTCTATTTTCTTCTAGGAGTTTAAATAGTTTCTCCTCCAATGTGATTTTGATTAGGAGTGGTGAGAACAGACATCCTTTCTTGTCCTGTTCCGGGTTTTAGGTGGAACAATTCAGTGTTTGCTCATTAGCGTGTTAGCTATTTATACAGGCTGAGGACATTTCCTTCTATCCTGGTTGCTCATGGTTTTTTATCATAAGTAGTTATTGAGTTAGGTTAAATTTTTTTCCTGCATATATTGAGATAATTATACAGCTTTTTGTCTTAGTTTATTGATAATGGTGAGTTATGTTGATTAGTTTTTCATAGGTTGACTCAAACCTTGTGTTCCTGCTATATACCCTACTAGGGCATGATGTATTATCTATTTTATATATTATTGGGTTGAATTTGGAGGTTGTGGTTGTTGTAAGGTTTTTAACTATGAACTCGGTTTCTTTAGTAGATGCAAGATTTAGGTTATGCAATATAGATGCAATATATTTAGGTTATATATTTCAGTGATATTTGATTATTTGTTTCTTTAAGAATTTGTTCATTTCGTGTAAGTTGTTGAAAGTATGAGTGTAAAGTTCTTAAATATTGTCTTATCCTTTTAATATGCTTAGGCTCTGTTGTGATATTGCCTCTTTCATTACAGATTCTGATCTTACCATTTTTAGTTCCTTCTGGTTGTTTTGGGTTTCATTTCTTCTCTAGTTTCTTAAACTTAGATCATTAATATGAGAGCTTCTTTCCCAGTACATGCATTTAACATAATAAATTTTTCTCTAAACACTACTTTAGTCACATCTCACAAATGTTGACAATGTTGACAGAGCAATTTATAGCATTAAATGCCTACTTTAGAAAAGAAGAAATGATATCAAGTATGTGTGTATATATATATATATATACGCCTTGGATTCCAGGTATAAATATATCAATATATACCTTAGATTCCATCTCAAGAACTAGAAAAAGAAAAATCCAAAGACTTCAAGCAGAATAACAGAAATCAATGAATACAGAAAACAGTAAAGAAAAATTATAGAAACAAAAAGCTGATTCTTGGACTTCCCTGGTGGCTCAGTGGTAAAGAATCAACCTGCCAATACAGGAGACATGGGTTCGATCCCTGAGCTGGGAGTATCCCACATGCCACAGAACAGCTAAGAGCATGCACCACAATTGTTGAGCCTGTGCTCTAGAGCCCAGGAGCTGCAACTCCTGAAATCCACATGCCCTGGAGCCCGTGCTTTGCAACAAGAGAAGCTACTTCAGTGGGAAGCCTGCTCACAGGAACTAGAGAGTCTTCCCTGCTCGCATCAGGGAAAATAAATTAAAAAAAAAAAAAGATATTCTGGCTACTCATCGGCTACTCTACTCATTCTGGCTACTCTGGATACCCATCATTGCTGTGAGAAATTGTCCTTTTTCTCTGATTAGGAATCTCATGTCTTCTGTTAGTGTCCATATAACTGGTATTCTATTTTTTTTTCTTTTTTACATTTATCTGACTGCACCAGGTCTAAATTGTGGCACATGGGATCTTCTGTCTTCTTTGCAGCATGTAGGATCTTTTAGTTGTGGCATGTGGGATCTTTTTAGCTGGAGCATGTAATATCTTTTAATTGTAGCATGCCAACTCCTAGTTGCAGCATATGGGATCTAGTCCCCTGACCAGGGATTGAACCTGGGCCCCCTGCATTTGGAGTGTGGAGTCTTGGCCACGGGACCACTGGGGAAGTCCCCTGGTATTTTAATTTGTTAGATTGAAAATAGCGTAAAGTGTCAGTCCTTTCACACTTCCTGACACACTTTACACACATTATTAGGCAATTAGCGTAGAACAGTATAAAACTGTGGAGAACACACTGTCTCAAGTGCTTTGTTGGGCCTAGCCAACGAAATTTAGGAATAGAGAATTAAGTCTGAGGTCTGGCTCTTAAACTGGTGTTCACATACTTTGCTGCCTAGTTGTTCCTGTTTGCTGACAGTTGTTCCTGTCTTTTTTTAAATGATTTTTATTTACTTATTTATTTTTGGTTGTGCTGGGTCCTTGTCGCTGGGGGACTTTTCACTAGTTGTGGCAAGAGGGGCTGCGTTTTAGTTGCGGTGCCTGGGCTTCTCTTGCCGCAGAGGACAGGTTCTGGGGCGTGTGGGCCTCAGTGGTTGTGGCACACAGGCTTAGCTGCTCCGCAGCACGTGGGATCTTCCTGGTCCAGGGGTCAAACCTGTGCCTCCTGCACTGGCAGGCGGAGTCTTTACCACTGATCCCCAAGGAAGCCCTGTTCCTGTATTGGAGAGAGTTTAATTTATAAAGTTAAATATTGATGGGATTCTTTAACTGTATTAAATATAAATTAGTATAATTTTTAATGTTTTGTTTAAGTTAAATGTGTTGATAGTTTTCTTTTTAAAAACATAACTAATACTTTTTTTTTTTTTTTTTTTAAGAATTGTTCTCTGTGTATTTCAGTCTGTATCTTAAACCTTCACAAGACATTAATAGAGTTTTGGTGGCAAGAATAATTCAAGTTGTGACCAAAGGATGCTGTTCGCAGACCGATGGATTAAGTCCCAAATTTTTGGATTTTTTTTCTAAGGCTATTCAGCAGGCACGGTAATCTAATCTATTTTTGTTTGTATTGGAAATCCATCTGATCCTTTTGCAAGACTGTGTTTTATATTCAGTAACTACAATTTTTTACCAATCATAAGGAAGTGTTGGACCTGTTATAGTAGAACTACTGGATTCCCTAAGAAAGTGTTAGGTCCAGTACTTCCTGAATATTCAATATGCAGAACATGCAGTAAAGTTCTTGAGTGGGGAGATTTCTTGCTTTTTTAATAACAGAGAAAGCTTTATGGCCTCTAAGTATTTTTATTTTCCCCATTTTTGAAGATAGGTATAATGCGCTAAGAATAAAATGAAGTGGGGATGTGTTTTGGAAATATCAATATCTTACTATCTGGCATTACTCAATTTATAATGTAAACTATTTTGTTAGTGGTAGGTATTATGAATTAGTTTATTTTTAGACAGTGTTTTAGCATCAGGGAGAGAGAACAGATCTCTTAGTGCCAATTAAGAACTGTTTTTTGCTGTTGCTATGCAATGCTGCTATGATTTTTTTTTTCTGAAGAAGTCTGAAAGTAAGGTTATTATTTGGATATCAGATTTTTTCTTTCAGTGTGCAACTTCATAACTGTCTTCAGTTTGTGCATTTTCCCCTGTTGTATTAAGTCTTTTTATTTTATGTTACAGACAAGAAAAGAGCCCTGCAGGTCTAAATCATATCTTAGCAGCATTTATTATCTTCCTCAAGACTTTGTCTGTTAACTTTCGAATTCGAGTGTGTGAATTAGGAGATGAAATTCTTCCTACCTTACTTTATATTTGGACTCAACAGAGACTTAATAATTCCTTAAAAGAAGTAATTATTGAATTATTTCAGCTACAAATTTATATTCATCATCCAAAGGGAGCCAAAACTCAAGATAAAGGTATAAAGAAAGCTTTTGCTATTTTGAATTTGTTTCTTCATTGATACACAAAGGGTTAAGTATAAAATCTGTATAATCAGGAGGTTATGACCTTCCTCTGGATTGTTATGCATGGTAATAGAATTAGTCATGAGGATATTTTTCACTTTCTTAAAAAAAATTGGAAACTATGGTAACAAATCTTATCATGCATTGCCATTTGTTTAGTACAGTTCTGCATTTTATGAGGAGTACAAACAAAGATGAGACACTGTTTCCTCTAAGAGCTGATTATGTAGTAATAATTAGGTGCTAAGAGGTATGACACAGAGTAAGGCAAGATCTTGTTTCTCTACATATGTATTGCTTTTCTTAGAAAAATAAAATAGATAAATATGGACTGAACCAGCTAGATGTCAGTTCCCAATGAAGATAAATACATATTGCCTCAAACCTCATAGTTATTCCAGGCTTCTGTTTGCTAGGGAAAATGAAAATAAATGACTTATCCTCCTTTCATTCCTTTAGGTTAATCTATCATTAAGAGAGTATTGCTTGGATGGTGTCGTTCCATTCAGTAGACAAGAATTTTAGTGGGTACAACTGGAATTGAATGAGTTCACTCATGCTTAGGCTATGTTTTGACCCTGGCTTGTACTAGCTTTTAAGCCAATTCATCATGGTTAGTGTAATGACCTTGAAAGTGAAAGTGAAGTCACTCAGTCGTGTCCGACTCTGCCATCCCATGGACTGTAGCCTACCAGGTTCCACCGCCCATGGGATTTTCCAGGCAAGAGTACCGGAGTGGGTTGCTATTTCCTTCTCCAGGAGATCTTCCTGACCCAGGGACTGAACCCGGGTCTCCTGCATTTTAGGCAGATGCTTTACCATCTGAGCCACCAGGGTAATGACCTTACTTTGTCACAATCAGCTGTGTGTGTTTTGTGGTTCTTCTGGTATACACAGTTAGATGTATTTATAGCCCATGAAATGACTATAGGTCGAAGAATAGTGACTTTTCTCAGTTTTTCATCTTTCATATAGCTCTCACCAGAAGGAAAATTAGGCTTATTAGGGCATGGTGTGATATGTTTAGGGTTTTAGTTAAATGCATGTTTAGGATGAATTGAAAATTGGCAGATGATAAGGCTGTCAGAAATGCTCATACAGTTTTAGGCTACACTAATAGATTGTATTAAGTTCTTAAATAGCTTAAATTAAATTCATTAGTAGAATTTAAATAGGTTCTTTGTTTGTGGAAAGTAGTTGCCCCACTGTTTATTCCTCATACTTGTTAGATTAGAATTGTGACTATTCTGGTACGCTCATGAGATTTTGTAGAATAAGCATTTTTAAGAGACATAAGTTGACTAGAGTGTGTCTAGGGAAAGAGGAGAGATGACGATGAGGTGTCTGGATAACATGTTATTTGTACACTTGTTGAAGAAATTGGTAATGTTTTTCTGTTAAACAAAGGCATGCAGAGAAGTTGGTTCTCATATAAGAGAGGGGATTATTAATTGTATTTTTAATTTAATTAATTAATTAATTGTATTTATTTTTGTATTCTTCCATATTCTTATCAAACTTTCACCAATTAAATAAAAATCTCAATCAAACTTTCTTTTATTTCTTCTCTCCCCAAAGCATATACAGTTAACTGAGTGTGAGGTGGACATCATTAGGACGTAGAACTTGTCAAGGATATAGTCAGAGGAGCCATTAGTAGTAAATAGACTGCACCAGATGTCTTCTAATGTTTCCACCTTAACAGCTGAGTGGTTTTATGGGAGTTGGCAGTACAAATGGATTGTATATATAGATTATATTTTAATTTAATTATTTTTTAACATTACAGGTGCTTATGAATCAAGAAAGTGGAGAAGTATTTTATACAACCTGTATGATTTGCTAGTTAATGAAATAAATCATATAGGAAGCAGAGGGAAATATACTTCAGGATCTCGTAATATTGCTGTTAAAGAAAACTTGATTGAATTGATGGCAGATATTTGTCACCAGGTATAGTAGATCTTGTCACATTTTGAAATTTCCCATTCATTTTCCTTTTATTAGGCCTGTAAAAAGCCTATAAAATTACTCTGTGCATGTTGATTCCTTTCGAAACACCATAAATATTTAGAATTGCCCTTTTAACTTACAAGATAACTATCTTGCAAATATAAACTTAGTAAAAACTGATGATGAACTTTTCCATTCTTAAAAAAGTAATGTACAGGAAATGAGGTTATCCTAACCCTATGTGTTTCTTTTTTTCCCCTACTGATTTAAAAATCACATGGCATAAAATTAATTATTTTAAACAGTATATATAATTCAGTGTTTTTTTAGCATTTTCACTGTGTTGTGCAACCATCACCACTAATTCCAGAGCCTTTCCATCACTGCCAAAATAAACTTTGTATCTATTAGCGGTGAGTTTCAATTCCCTGCTTCTTCCAGTTCCTAGCAGCCAGCCACTAATCTACTTTCTGCCTCTGTCAATTTGCCTGTTTTGGTCATTTCGTATAAATGGAATCATATAATGTGCAGTCTTTTGTGTCTGGCTTCTTTCACTAAGCATAATGTATTCAAGGTTCTTCCATGTTGTACCATGAATCAGTATTTCATTATCACTGAATAATATTCAGTTGTAAGGATATATTACATTTTATTTACCAGCTCATCAGGTGATGGCTTAGTGTTTTTTTCCTCTATAGAAGAAATTTTAAAATTTCTTTTATTTTCAATACAGTTTTTAAAGGTTATATTCCATTTACTGTTACTTCACAATATTAGCTGTATTTCCTGTGTTATACAATATGTCCTTAATATAAACTCCCACTCGGTAGCTTGTACACCCTTCCCTGGTGGCTCCGATGGTAAAGAATCCTCCATCAATGAAGGAAACGTGGGTTCAGTCCCTGAGTTGGGAAGATCCCCTGGAGAAGGGAATGGCTACCTACTCCAATATTCTTGCCTGGAGAATTCCATGGACAGAGGAGCCTTGCGGGCTACAGTCCATGAGGTTACAAAGAGTTGGACACAACTGAGCAACTAAGACACCCTACTCGTAACCACTAGTTTGTTCTCTATATCTGTGCATCTGCAACTTTTTTGTTATATTCATTAGTTTGTTGTGTTTTTAGATTCCACATGTATTTGATATCATACAGTATTTGTCTTTCTCTGACTTATTTCATCTAAATGCTTTCCAAGTCTGTGTTGCTGCAAGTGGCAGACCTTTCTTTTTTATGACTGAGAAGTATTCTTTTGTGTGTGTGGGTGTGTATCCATTCATTTCTTGATGGACACTGAGGTTGCTTGCATATCTTGGCAGTTGTAAGTAATGCTGCTATAAACATTGGTTTCATGTATCTTTTCAAATTGGTACTTTTGTTTTTTATAGTTATATACCCAGGAGAATTTTACTGGGTTGTAGGTTAATTCTGATTTCAGTGTTTTGAGTAACCCTCAAACTGTTTTCCACATTAGCTGCCCCAATTTACATCCCACCAACAGTGTATAAGGGGCCCCGTTTCCCCATGTCCTTGCCAACATTTGTTATTTGTGTTCTTTTTGATGATAACGATGATAAACATTGTGACAGCTGTGAGATGATATGGTTTTGATTTGCATTTCCCTGATAATTAGTGATGTTGAGCATCTTTTCTTCTGCCTGTTGGTCATCTGCATTTCCTCTTTAAAAAATTGTCTGTTCAGGTCTTCTGCCCATTTTTTAAAACTTATTATTTATATTTATTTTATTTGTGGTTGCACTGGGTCTTTGTTGCTGCACATGGGCCTTCTCTAGTTGTGGTGAGCAGGGGCTTCTCTTCATTGCAGTACACTGGCTTCTCACCGTGGTGGCTTCTCTTGTTATGGAGTACGGACTCTAGGTGCATGGGTTTCAGTAGTTGCAGCACACAAGCTCAGTGAGTTGTGGAGCAAGGCCTTGGTTGCTCTGTGGCATGTGGAACCTTCCCATACCAAGGATTGAACCCATGTCTCCTGCATTGGCAGGCAGATACCTATCCACTGTACCACCAGGGAATTTCCCCTTATGCCCATTTTTTAATCAGGTTGTTTGTTTGTTTGATAAGTTGTATGATTTGTTTATATATGTTAGATATTAACCCCTTACTAGTCATATCATTTGCTAACATTTTCTCCCATTCAGTAGGTTATATTTTTGTTTGTGGGTTCTTTTCTTTGGTGTTCAAAACTTGTGTGTTTAATTAGGTCTCATTTGTTTATTTTGTTTTTATTTCCTTTTCTTTAAGAGACAGATCAAAAAAAAGTATTGCTATGATTTATATCAAAGGGTGTTCTGCCTATTTTTTCCTCTAGGAGTTTCGTAGTATTCAGTCTTTTAGGTCTTTAATCCATTTTTTTTTTTAATATGGTGTTGGAGAATGTTCTAATTTGATTCTTTTACATGTAGCTGTCCAGTTTCCCCAGCCCCACTTATTGAAGAGACTGTCTTTTTCTCCATTGTATATTCTTGTCTCCTTTGTCACAGATTAACTGACCGCGAGTACAATGGTTTATTCTGGACTATACACTGTTCCGTTGATCTGTGTATCTGTTTTTGTGCCAGTTCCGTACTCTTTTGATTATCATAACCTTTGTAGTCTGTGTAGTCTGAGGGCAGGGAGTGTGTTTGCTCCAGCTCTGTTCTGTTTTCTCAAGACTGTTTTGGCTATTTGGGGTCTTTTGTGTTTCCATACAAATTTTAAAGTTATTTGTTCTGGTTCTGGGAAAAATATCATTAGTGTCATTTTGTTTTGACCACAGACAGCATGCAGGATGTTAGTTCCCCAACCAGGGATTGAAACCATTCCCCCCTCCCGGCCGCCACCCCTAGAGGGAAACACTGAGTCCTAATCACTAGAGTACCAGGGAAGTCCGTCTTTGGCATTTTGATAAGGATTTTGTTGAATCTCTAGATTGCCTTGGGTAATATGGTCATTTTAATAATATTGGTTTCTCCAATCCAACAGATTGGAGGAAACAGATATCTTTCCATCTGTTTGTGTTGTGTTTGGTTTCTTTTATCAGACTTACAGTTTTCTGAGGACAGGCTTTTTGCCTCCTGTAGGCAAAAGGTTTATTCCTAGGTATTTTATTCTTTTTAAGGCAGTGGTAAATGGACTTATTCCTTAATTTCACTTTCTGGTTAGTTTGTTGTTGGTGTATACAGTTGTAACAGATATCTATCTGTATATTAATTTCATATCCTACATCTTTACCCGGTTCATTGATGAGCTCTTGTAGTTTTTCTGGTGACATCTTTAGGATTTTCTGTATATAGTATCCTGTCATCCGCAAAAACAGTGACAGTTTTACTTCTTCCTTTCCAATTTATATTCCTTTCGTCTTTTTTTTCTTCTCTAATTGCCATGCCTAGGACTTTCAAAGTCATGTTACATAAAAGTGGTGAGAGTGGACATTCTTTTTTTTTCCTGATCTCAGAGGAATGCTTTCAGCCTCTATGTCTGCTTTCTAGGAAGTTTTCACTATAAATGGATCTTGAGTTTTATCAAAAGTTTTTTTATATTCTATCTACTGAGATGATCATATGGTTTTTATTTTTCATCTTGTTAATGTGGTATAACATATTACTGATTTTCAAATATTGAGAAATTCTTGCATTTCTGGGATAAATCCCACTTGATCATAGGTAGGGTATGATCTTTTTAACCTATTGTTGGATGTTTTTTGCTAGTATTTTGTTGTGGATTTTTGCATCTGTTCATCAGTATTATTGGTCTGTAGTTTTCCTTTTTATGATATATTTGTCTGGTTTTGGTATCAGGGTGGTGCTGGCCTCACAGAATGTGTTCAGAATTGTTCCTGGCTCCACAGTTTTTTGAAATAGTTTCAGGATAGGTGTTAAGTCTGTAAATGTTTATAGAATTCACTTGTTAAGGCATCTGTTGCTGGACTTTTGCTTGTTAGGAGTTTTTTAATTACTGATTCAACTTCATTACTGTTTATTGGTTTGTTCACATTTTCTGTTTCTTCCCAGTTCTGTCTTGAGAGATTGTACCTTTCTAAGAATTTGTTTTTTCTAGGTTGTCCATTTTATTGGCATATAGTTGCCTATAGTAGCCTCTAATGATCCTTTGCATTTCTCTGGTGTTAGCTGTAACTTCTTTTTAATTTCTGATTGTATTGATTTGAGCCCTCTCCCTTTTTTTTCTTTTTCCTTTTTTTTTCCCCCATCCTCCCTTTTTTTTTCTTGATGAGTCTGGCTAAAGGTTTATCAATTTTATTTTTTCAAGAACCATCTTTTAGTTTCAATAATGTTTTCTATTGTTTTTTTAGTCTCTATTTCGTTTATCTAAAACCTATTGGAAGACTTCCCTGGTGGTCCAGTTAAAGGTGGTTATGAATTCACCTACTGGTACAGGGGGCACAGGTTTGATCTCTGGTCCAGGAAGATTCCACATGCCATGGGGCAACTAAGCCCATTGGCTAAAACAGCTGAGCCCACACACTCTAGAGCCCATGCTTTTCAAAAAGAAAAGTCATCACCATAAGAAGCTCTCACACCTCAACTAGAAGAAGCTCTGACACCTTGGCTAGAGAGTAGCCCCTGGTTGCCATCACTAGAGAAAGCCTGGGCATAGTAACAAAGACCCAGCACAGCCAGAAGTAAATAAATAAAATTTGAAAAATAAATAAAACTGGGCTTCCAGTTCAAGATGGCAGAGTAGAAGTACGTGCATTCAACTCTTCCTGTGAGAGCACCAAAATTACAACTAAGTATTGAGCCATCATGGATAGGAGTATGCTGGAACCCTCCACAAAAAGATATCCTATGTCTAAAGACAAAGAAGAAGCCCCAGGGAGACGGTAGGTGGTGTTCAATCATGATAAAATCAAATCCCACACCTGCTGGGTGGGTCACCCACAGACTGGAGAACAGTAAAACCAAAGTTGTTCTTGCACTATTGTGAAGGTTCTGAACCACAACTCAGGCTTCCCATTGTGGGGATCTGACAAAGGGACTGGGAATTCCCAGCGAATCTGGCCTTGAGTGCCAGCAGGATTTGATTATAGGCCTTCCAGAGGAATGAGGGAAACAGACTCCAGTCTTGGAGGGCACAAGCAAAATTTTGTGCTCACCAAGACCCATAGGAGAGGAGCAGTGACCCCGTAGGAGACTGAACCAAAACTACCTGATGGTGTTGGAGGGCCTTGTGGGTTGGTGGGGACTCACCGCAGGGACAGGGGCACTGGAAGGTTCCCCCTTGGCATCACCCCTCTTGGAGTTCACCATTAACCCTACCATAGGGCCCATAGACCCTAGGACTGGCTCGCCTCAGGCCGAACAACTACCAGGTAGGGAATGCAGCCCCACCCATCGGCAGATAATTGGATTAAAGCTTTACTGAGCAAGGCCCTACCCACAAGAGCAAGATCCAGTTTTTCCCATCACCAGTCCGTCTCATCAGGAAGCTTACACAAGCCTCTTAGCTTTATCCATCAGAGGGCAGACAGAAGAAGCACGAAGTACAGTCTCAGAGCAGCTAAAACAAAAACCATATTACAGAAAGTTAATCATGATGAAAAAGCAGAAAGTTATGTCTGAGAGTTAGGGACAAGATAAAATCCCTGAAAAACAATTAAGTGAATTGGAGATAGGCAACCTTCCAAAAAAAGGATTTAGAATAATGATAGTGAAGATGATCCAGGATCTTGGGAAAAGAGTGGAAAAAAAGATTGAGAAGATGTGAGAAATGTTTACCAAAGTCCTAGAAGAGCTAAAGAGCAAACAGAAATGAATAATACACTAGAAAGAATCAAGAGCAGAATAACTATGGCAGAAGAATGGATAAATGACCTGGAGGACAGAATGGTGGAAATCAGTGCCACAGAACCGAAAATAGGGGGGAAAATCAAAAGAAATGAAGACAGCCCAAGAGACCTCTTGAACAACATTAAATGCACCAACATTCATATTATAGGGGGTCCCAGAAGGAGAACAGAGAGAGAAAGGACCTAAGAAAATATTTGGAGAGAATAGCTGAACACTTCCTGAACATGGGAAAGGAAGTCAACCAAGTCCAGGAAGCACAGAGAGTCCCAGGAAGGGTAAACCTAAGGAGGAACACACCGAGACAATAATCAAACTGACAAAAATTAAAGGCAGAGATAAAATACTAAAAGCATGGGAAAACAGCAGATAACATACAAGAACTCCCATCAGGCTGTCAACTGATTTCTCAATAAAAACTCTACAAGCCTGAAGGGATTGACATGACGATGAAAGGGAAGAAAGGGAAGAACCTACAACCAAGAATACTCTACTCAGCATGACGCTCCTTCACATTTTATGGTGATATCAAAGGCTTTCCAGACAAGCATAAATCAAGAGAACTCAGCACCTCCAAACTAGCTTTACAACAAATGCTAAAGAAATTTCTCTAGGCAGGAAACACAAGCGAAGGAAAAGACCTACAGAAAACAAACCCCAAGCAATTAAGAAAATGGTAATAGGATTATACATATTGGTGGTGGTGGTGGTGGTGGTGGTGGTTTAGTTGTCCGACTGCTGAGATCCCATGGACTGTAACCTGCCAGGTTGCTCTGTTGATAATTACCTTAAATGTAAATGGATTAAAATGCACCAACCAAAATTAAATGGGTTAAATGGATTAAATGACTGAGTGGATAAAAGCATGTGCATGTGCTTGACCCCCCACATATTGTGTGTAATTATTTTATATTGTTAAGTTAATCATGTTGCCATTATGGCTTGCAATTGTAATTATCTTTAATTTTTTGTCTGACTATTAATTGTGAAAACTGATAAACATCTTTTACTATTGTGATTATGTAACTATTACTCACTTAATACCATTGTATCATGATTGGTCCACAGAAAAGTAATAGAATTCTGTATTATCAAAACTAGGATCTAGTAGAAAAACCTGTTATTCCTTTTTAAAATCCAGTTGCATATCAGAATTATCTTCAAATGTTTTGAAAAATACAAATGCTCAAGATATTGCTTTTTTTCCTCCAGAGCTCCAAATATGTTTATAAGAGCAGTCATGTTTAAAAGCAACTGGACTATTCAATGATCTTTTACTTTTATCTAGTTTGTTTCACTTTTTCTATTTCATAGTCAGTGTTCCCACTTCATTTAGTTTATGTTCTCCAACTCCTTTTTTTTAATGTTCTTTCTGAAGCCTTTATCAATGTAGTAGAAAGGCTTTTGTATACATATATATAAATATTTATAATATTTTTATAAAACTATAAAAATAATTATATATATACTTTTAAATATTTATAAATATAAAAATTTTAGAAAACATACATCTTTGCCTGACTAAAAAAATTGTGAAATTTTGATTCCATTTGTTTGACTTAATATGATTAGAATGGTAGATTTCGAATTAAAAAGTAAATATGTAGCAAGCAAGAAAGGTTCACTGTATAGCATAGGGAACTATAGTCAATATCTTATAATAACCCATAATGGAAAGTAATTTCAAAAATAATATATGTGTATTTGTATAACTGAATCACTTTGCTGTGCTCTTGAAACATTGTTAAGTCAATTATACTTCAATAAAATGTATTTATTAAAAAAATAATAAAAACATAAAACCTATGAGACACATCTAAGTTTATAGCAATATAAGCTTACTTCAGAAATTAAGAAAAATCTCAAATAAATAGCCTAACCTTACACCTAAAGGAGGTAGAGAAAGAAGAATAAACAAAACCCAAAGTTAGTAGAAAGAAAGAATTCGTAAAAATTAGAGCAGAAATAAATGAAATAGAGACCTAATGTTTCTTAAGTAAAGATTTTCCCCAGAGATTTGGGTACCATGCAAGAAGATTTCACTTGTCAAATATTTTCTTAACACTAAATTTATGATTTAATCCCTTTGAAAATTGGAATTTTTTCTTTACTCTTAGATGTTTTGGTGCTTTTAGTAAATTTTCCCAAACAGTATAGCTAATATTTTACTTGGTAATATCTGCTTTCTAGAGAGCCATTATTATCTGCAAAATGTTTATTTCTATATGTCATATCCATATATTTCAGTAATTTGTTACTCTTTATGACTAACCTTATCAGCTAAGGAGGGACATTTTTTCCCTATTGAACTGTTAGAAATAATAGCAATATTAAATATATTTTCCTTTTGTTATTTTTTAGGTTTTTAATGAAGATTCCAGATCTTTGGAGATTTCTCAGTCTTGCACAACCACACAAAGAGAACTTACTGATCACAGTGTACCTTGCAAAAAGAGGAAAATAGAATTAGGCTGGGAAGTAATAAAAGATCACCTTCAGAAGTCACAGAATGATTTTGATATTGTACCTTGGTAAGTGTTCTTTTTTTCTCTTTCAGTATCATTTAGTCTCATTAATTTTTCTCACAAGACCTCCTGTAGATTCCTTTACCTCATTGGCCTAGCCAGAACCAGGTCACACTTGTCCACTCCCAAAGCAGTTGCTGGCTAAAGGGGAATGTCATGCTGAGATAACCACCTGCTGAGATAACCAGAACATGCTGAGATAACCACCTCCATGACTCATCTTCTGGGGCCAGAATGAGGGCCTTTCCTACGCGTGTTCCCATGGCAAGGAGAAAGGGAGAAATGGCTGATTGGTAGGCAAGCTGTACCGTGTGCCTCTTGGAATTCATTGAGTTGTATACCTCAACACAAAGAGTTTTTACCATGCATAGCACCTTCTAATATAATTAAATTAGGAAGAAATTAAAGATAGCATTAAGAATTTAGAGAATAATTTGAACCTTATGCCATGATAAAGGCACTTTTTATTATTTATTTTTCCTATGTCAATGTAATGTTTAAATATAGTTGAGTTGTTGGGCGGGGTATATATATTGATTTTGATACTTATTGCTAAATTATTGTTTATTTCCTATAGTTAATGGTACCTATTTCATATTCTCTAATTTGTCCATTTAGTGAAGTCATTTATTGAACACCTACTATGTGCCAGGCATAAGGAGTAGACAGTGAATCAGTTGCAGTTCCTATTCTTAAGTTGCACACATTCTAGGGAACTCACAGCAAATACTTATTGAATTAACTGAATTAATGTCAGCAGAAACAGTTTGTTTTGGGTTTTTGTTCTAAAGTTATATTGTTGGTGGCTGAAGGGCAGGGAACTGTGCAGTAAATAAGAAGTAGAATATTGGTAATTTAGTTATTTATAAGCAAATTTAGTTATCTGTAAGCAAAATATGATAGCTTACCCAGCTAGCCAAAATGCTGTCAATCTTCTTGCCACTTTAGGAAGTAGGACCAAATAATTACTAAGAGCCAGTTTATTTTGAGGGTAGTCTGGAAAATGGTGATGACAGTGTTCTAATTAGGATACTGTATGAGTACTATGTCTATATATTTCTTTTCTTTTAGCCTCTTAATGGAGTAGAATAATTTTAAAATTATTTGTACTTTTTTTTAGGTTACAAATCGCAACTCAGTTAATATCAAAATATCCTGCAAGTTTACCTAACTGTGAGTTGTCACCATTACTAATGATACTATACCAGCTTCTACCTCAACAGCGACGTGGGGAACGCACACCATATGTGTTACGATGTCTTATGGAAGTTGCATTGTGTCAAGGCAAGAGGTCAAACCTAGAAAGCTCACAAAAGTCAGATTTATTGAAAATCTGGATTAAAATTTGGTCTATTACTTTTCGTGGTATAAGTTCTGAACAAATACAAACTGAAAACTTTGGCTTACTTGGAGCCATAATTCAAGGGAGTTTCGTTGAGGTTGACAGAGAATTCTGGAAGTTATTTACTGGGTCAGCCTGTAGACCTTCATGGTAAGTTGACTATTAATTATATTTTGCAGCATATATATTTCCTGATTTGTGTAATTTCTAACTTCAGTTAAAAATATGTTAAATTCTGTTTCAGATTCTTAAGTCCTAATAAATAAGTTTGAAATAGGAAGAGATTACTAAACCCAGTTTTAAAGATTTATTTGTAATTAGCAATTATTCATTTGCTCATAAATAGAATAAACTTTATTTCTCTTAGTACTGCATACTGTTACAGTAAGATAGTACTTAGTCAAGAATTTTCTCAAATGTAGTCAAATTTTTGTGCTCATTTAGTCCATAGTTTATATGTCTACCATGTGCCAGGACATGTCCTAAAAATTGACCACAGAGTAGTAAAAAGATACACATGGTCTCTGTCCCTCTAAGAGCCTAAATGTTTTAAAATTGAAGTAGAGTTGATTTATAGTATTGTGTTAGTTTCTGGTATATAAGCAAAGTGATTCAGTTTTTTCTATATATATGTGTGTGTGTGTGTGTATATATATATTGTTTCATATTCTTTTCCATTATGGTTTATTACAGAATATTGAGTATAGTTCCTTGTGTATACAGTAGGACCTTATTGTATATCTGTTTTACACATAGTAATTTATGTCTGCCAATCCCAAGTTCTTAATATATCCCTCTCCCACTCCTTTTCCCTTTGGTAACCATAAGTTTGTATTCTATGCAAAAAGTTCACTTTTAATATTAATTGTCTTTTGTTTTGCAACAGTCCTGCAGTATGCTGTTTGACTTTGGCACTGACAATCTGTGTAGTTCCAGAAACAGTAAAAATAGGAATTGAGAAAAATATATGTGATGTAAGCAGAAATTCTTTAAAAGAATTGATAATGAAATGGCTCTTATTCTGTCAGTTAGAGGATGACTTTGAAGACAGTACAGAGTTACCTCCAGTTCTTTGCAGGTAATTTGAGTTCATTAGCACGCTGCTGCTTTTTTAATTTATTTTGTAAGGTGCTCTCCATTTCTTATTTGATACTAGATGGCTTTATTTTGCTGTGATCTTCCAGGATTTTCCAGAATTAGTCTTAACTACTAAACAGTCCCTTTGTTTTTATAGTGTTCTGTTTCTTTGTATCTGAATCTTTGCCCAAGTTCTTTTATTTTGTTTTCTCTCACTGCCTAGACAGTGAGAGTTACATGTTTGTGATTGTCCCTAAATAGGTCCATCTGAACATATATCCACTCAGGTATATCGTGGAATCATAAGGAGAATGCTTTCTGGGCTAAATATGTTAAATTAACAAGGGAAAGAAATGAAAAAAGACAAACTGGGACTTAAGCACTAAAATGAGGAGCAACTTGCCCACTTAACCTTTCCTCAGTCAGTAATTGGAGCTGAGTGATTTGAAGGGGCTCCTCTGGATCCTAGTGATTTGACTTGAATTTCATAGTTGTTTAGGCTCTTTGAAAATTGAATATGGTCCTGTATCTAGAAGTGTTGAAAATGATAGTAACATAAAATTTATGTTCCTTAAGTACTTTTTCAGTTGTTAAGAAATTTAGTACAGATGGAAACAGTTTTAATTTTGGATCCAAATTTTAGAGATCAATATTTTTCGTTAAGTGTGGGCATTTAAGTTTAAAGAATGCTTTAAATGGCTTTTGGTCTTTTAAGTAAAGATCTCTATTTTTACTTCATAGTAATTTTCCTCATCTTACCCTGGAGAAAATTCTCGTGAGTCTCACTATGAAAAACTGTAAAGCAGCAATGAATTTTTTCCAAAGTGTGCCAGAATGGTATGTTTCCTAATGGAGTTCTGTGTTGTTTCAATTAACAGAGATAATAATTAGAGATAATAATTTTAGCAGAGTGGTACCTACGTCTTAAAAATTGTGAACCAAATTGGTCAATTAAAAAAATTATAGCTGTTAACAAGGGAAAAGTTTCTTTTAATTCAATAATTATAATTTATGTTCTGTAGTGTGTTTATGATAGGATATTAAGAACATAAACATCACGTGGAAAAGATTTTTTTTATATGTCAAATAAAATCTGAATGACTACTTTAAAAACTAATGATAATTTAGTATAGGGAAAACAAAAATCTAAAAACCTCATTTTAGTCGATTGACTCCAGAGGCTTATGTTTAATTTATCACTGTGACTGAAAATGATTCACTGGCATGAAGTTTTCTAGTCTTTCTCAAGAGGGCATAATACAAAAAAATATACATTTTGGAGAAATGTGAAAAAAGGGGGAAAGTTTTCAGACATTTGGTTTTCATTTTCTTTTCTTTATTTATTTTGGTCCCTCGAGTCTGAGTTGCGGCACGTGGGATCTTTCATTGTAGCATTCAGACTCTGAGTTTGGCATGTGGGCGCAGTAGTTGAGCTCTCTAGCTGTGACATGCAGGCTCCGGAGTGCACGGGCTTAGTGCTTGCAGCCTGAAAGCTTAGTTGCTCCACTGCATGTGGGATCTGACCAGGAATCAAACCTGTGTCCCATGCATTGTAAGGCAGATTCTTAACCACTGGCCCACCAGAGTGTCCCTCAGATAATGTTATTCTTAATGTTTATATCTGTTGTTAATTAATGTTTTTTTAATACTTCCTGAATTAGCCTTTTAGATTGAATCTTTTATTTCTCATGTCCATTTGTTAGTGAAATTGCTACTGAATAATGAAATTCAGTGTAAGTAGTTATCAAAATCCAAAGAAGAAAAGCATTTAAAAGAATAATTCACTAATTACATGAACAATCTTTGAATAACATAGATTCATTGTTAATGCTAAGTTAATATTTTATTTGTAATAGATTGATGCTATATGAAGGTAAAATAGTAGACAATTTGATCTTATAAATTGAAAATCTTACTTCTTTGAAGTGAGCAACACCAAAAAGATACAGAAGAACCTTCATTCTCAGAAGCTGAAGATCTGTTTCTTCAGACAACTTTTGACAAGATGGATTGTTTAACCATTGTGAAAGAACATACGCTAGAAAAGCACCAACCCAGTGTAGGCTTTTCTGTCCACCAAAACCTCAAGGAGTCACTGGATCGCTATCTTTTGAGACTGTCAGAACAGCTTCTAAATAACTACTCATCTGAGGTGAGATTTTCAAGAAGAGCTAAAGCCTGTGTTTGATTCTATTTTGGTAGAGTGTTAGGAAGGAGAAATAGTGTCAGGAAAGGCCCTAAGGACTTTAAATTAAGCTTAATTTAATTTAATTAAGCTTAATTTTAAAAGCAAAGTAATAGCGCATGTCTACAAATTGGGAAAAAACTTAGAATGAAAAAAATAAAACTGAAGAAAAATAATTACTTTTTTAACCAGAAATTCTTACAGACATTAAAGAAGTAGATTTCTTTGGGTAGGTTAATGGGCAGTAATAATGGTTTTGAGCATATGGATTATTTGATGAAAAAGAACCTTAATTCAGAGGAGGGAAATTTTACGATAACAGAAAAGGACATAATTTAAACTAATCCAATAGATTTTGGTTGCACTTGAAAAGGGAGAGAAGTCATTGATAAATGAACTAACAGTCACCCATATTTAAGCAGTCATTTAGTGATGTCTTACAGTCATTGATAAATGAACTAACAGTCACCCATATTTAAGCAGTCATTTAGTGATGTCTTACATATCATTTCCATTGTCCTCTTAAAATAAAAAAGTTCTCATTGTGTGTGCTGTTCTCTTACCAAAACTCCTATGTCTTTCCATGCATTTCTATGTGTTCAGATAATTCACATGTCAAAATCCTTACTAAAGCCTTTTTTTATAATCTCAGCCATGTATCTTTTAATTTTCATGTTGTTGTTCGATCACTAAGTTGTGTCTGAGTCTTTGCAGCCCCGTGGACTTGCATACCAGGCTTTGCTGTCCTCCACTGTCTCCCCAAGTTTGCTCAGATTCATGTACGTTGAGTCAGTGATGCTGTCTATCTCATCGTCTGCCACTCCCTTCTCCTTTTGCCTTCAGTCTTTTCCAGTGAATCAGCTCTTCACAACAGGATTGGCCAAAGGATTGGAGCTTCAGCTTTAGCATCAGTTCTTATAATGAATATTCAGGACTGATTTCCTTTAGGATTGACTGGTTGGTCTTTTTGTCCAGTGGACTCTCAAGAATCTTCTCCAGCACCACAATTCAAAAGCATCAATTCTTTGGCACTCTATGGTTCAGCCTTTACTCTGCACATGACTCTTGGAAAAGCTGTAGCTTTGACTATACAGACTTTTGTTGGCAAAGTGATATGTCTGCTTTTAATATGCTGTCTAGGTTTGTCATAGGAGCAAATGTCTTTTAATTTCATGGGTGTAGTCACCATCTGCAGTGATTTTGGAGCCCAAGAAAATAAAATCTGTCACTGCTTCCACTTTTTCCCCTTCTATTTACCATGAAGTGATGGGACCAGATGCCATTATCTTCATCTTTTGGCTGAGTTTCAAGCCAGCATTTTCACTCTTCTCTTTCACTTTTATCAAGAGGCTCTTTAGTTCTTCTTCACCTTATTTGCCATTGGAGTGGTATCATCCACATATCTGAGACTGCTGGCATTTCTCCCAGCAGTCTTGATTCCAGCTTGTGATTCATCTGGACCAGCATTTTGTATGATGAGCTCTGCTTATGACTCAAACAAGCAGAGGGACAGTGTACAGCCTTGCCATACTCCTTTCTCAATTTTGAACCATTCAGTTTTCCATGTTTGGTTCTAAAGTTGCTTCTTGATCTACACACAGGTTTCTCAGGAGGTAGGTAAGGTGGTCTCGTATTTACATCTCTTGAAGGATTTACCACAATTTGTTGTAATCCATACTGTCAAATAGCTTAGAAAAGAAGAGAAGGTGAAAGGCAAAGGAGAAAAGGACAGATATACCCATCTCAATGCAGAGTTCCAAAAAATAGCAGGAGAGATAAGAAAGCCTTCCTAAGTGAACAATGCAAAAAAAAAAAAAAAAGGAAAACAATAGAGTAAGGAAGACTAGAGATCTCTTCAAGAAAATTGGAGATACCAAGGGAGAGTTTCATATAAAGATGGGCACAATAAAGGATAGAAATGGTGTATGGGCCTAACAGAAGCAGAAGATATTAAGAACAGGTGACAAGAATACACAGAAGAACTGCACAAAAAAGATCTTAATGATGTGGATAACCATATTGATGTGATCACTCACCTAAGCCATACATCCTGGAGTGCGAAGTCAAGTGGTCCTTAGGAAACATCACTGTGAACAAAGCTAGTGGAGGTGATGGAATTCCAGCTGAGCTACTTCATAGCCTAAAAGATGCTGTTAAAGTGCTGCACCCAATATGCCAGGAAATTTGGAAAACTCAACAGTGGCCAGAGAACTGGAAAAGGTCAGTTTTCATTACAATCCCAAAGAAGGGCAATGAAAAAGAATATTCCAACTACCACACAATTGTACTCACTTCACATCCTAGGAAAGTAATGGTCAGTATCCTCCAAGCTAGGCTTCAACACTGTGTAACTGAGAACTTCCAGATGTACCAGCTGGATTTAGAAAAGGCAGAGAAACCAGAGATCAAATTGCCAACATCTGTTGAATCATAGAAAAAAGCAAGAGAGTTCTAGAAAAGCACCTACTTCTGCTTTATTGACTACTTCTGCTTTAATGAGAGTTGGACCATAAAGAAGGCTGAGCATGAAGAATTGATGCTTTTGTACAGTGGTGTTGGTGAATACTCTTGACAGTCCCTTGGACTGCATGGAGATCAAACCAGTCAATCCTAAAACAAGTTAATCATGAATATTCATTGTAAAAGACTGATACTGAAGCTGAAGCTTCCAGTACTTTCGTCACCCGATGAGAAGAGCTGACTTGTTGGAAAAGACACTGATGCTGGGAAAGATTAAGGGCAGGAGGATAAGGGGATGACACAGGATGAGACAGTTGGGTGGCATCACCAGCTCAGTGGACATGAATTTGAGCAAGCTCCGGGAAATGGTGAAAGACAGGGAAGCCTGGTGTGCTGTACTCTATGGGGTCATGAAGAGTTGGACCAACTGAGCAACTGACCTTAACTGAACTGAATACTGTCACAGGCTTTAGCGTAGTTAATGAAGCAGAAGCAGATGTTTTTCTGGAACTCCCTTGCTTTCTCCACGATCCAACGAATGTTGGCAGTTGAACCTCTGATCCTTCTGCCTCTTCAAAGCTCAGGTTTTACACCTGAAAGTTTCCAGTTCACATGATGTTAAAGCCTCACTTGAAGGATTTTGAGCAAAACCTTGCTAGCATGTGAAATGAGTACAGTTGTATGGTAGTTCAAACACTGTTTGGCATTGCCTTCTTTGGGATTGGAATGAAGACTGACCTTTTCCAGTCCTATGGCCACTGGTGAAATTTCTGAATTTACTGACATTGAGTGCAACATTTTAACAGTATCATATTTTAGGATTTGAAGTAGCTTAGCTGGAATTGCTGGAGAAGGCAATGGCACCCCACTCCAGTACTCTTGCCTGGAAAATCCCATGGATAAAGGAGCCTGGTAGGCTGTGGTCCATGGAGTCACTAAGAGTTGGGCGTCACTGAGCAACTTCACTTTCACTTTTCACTGTCATGCATTGGAGAAGGAAATGGCAACCCACTCCAGTATTCTTGCCTGGAGAATCCCAGGGACAGAGGAGCCTAGTGGGCTTCCATCTGTGGGGTCACACAGAGTCAGACACGACTGAAGCAACTTAGCAGCAGCAGCAGCTGGAATTGCATCACCTCTACTAGCTTTGTTTTGTGGAATGCTTCCTAATGATATCCGGCTCTAGGTGAGGGATCACACCATCATGGTTATCCAAGTCATTAAGACCTTTTTGTATAGTCTTCTGTATGCTCTTGTATAGTTATTCTGTTTATCCTTGGACAAGAAAATGGAAACCCATTCTGGTATTCTTGCTTGGAGAATTAATGGGCAAAGGAGCCTGGCAGTCCATAGTGTTGCAAAGTGTCTGATATGACTGAGCAACTATCACTCACTCACTCGTATTCTTGCCGCCTCTTCTTAATCTCTTCTGCTTCTGTTAGGTCCTGACAGACAGTATCGTGCCCATACTTGCATGAACTGTTCCCTTGATATCTCCAACTTTGTACCATATATACAAATAACTCTTAAACTATGCTAGAAGCTCATTAAAGGGCATATATAATTTCTCTTGATTTTTGTATCTTCTTCAATACCTTATTATATGATAAATGTTAAAAATATTTGTTGACTAAAATAAAACCTAAAAGCTATTATAGCTAGATTCAGTAGCCATAACTTATGATCCAAAGAACCAGAGAGAGGACAACATGCCTATTTTATCTATCTTGCTCTTAATTACTGTCTTTCTTCTGGATTATAGTTACAACTACTTTCATTACAGAATAATGAGATCTCCTGTGTTTTTTCCTAAATGCCATTCCATATAATATAGGAACAGAAAAATCTGAAAATCTTTTTTTTGTTTGTAATGTTTACACATTTCTTACATAATTCTATAAAATTGATTGACAGTAGCTATTGGTAAAATATCTTGTACTTGTCTGGGGAGTTTAAAAAGCTGATTAAATCAGGGACCTTATTTCTTAGAAGCTCAAAATGTCATTTTAATGTCTCTTTTTATGAATAAATCTGATTTCTGCTCATGTTCTAAGAATTATAGACAGTTATTTGCCTATCAGTTTTTTCTTTCTTTCCTGCTTACCTCACATATTTAAGGACTTATGTGTGCAATACACTGAGCCACTTTTGAAAAAGATGTGTTACTTGGCCATCAGGATATACTTCTCCTGTGTTTCCTGAGAACCCTGGTTATTACAGCTCTGCAGGGATCTCTTAGATGTTTTTTAGAGTTGATCAGAATTATGGCATTATTAATTTAGTTAGCTGTAGTTTTTTAATGTGAAGACAAAATTTGCTCTTGCAAAAAACAGTAGTACTCCAAATGATTTATGAAATATGTAAAAACTTTATATTCTGTATACTTAAACTTTTTATATTTTAAGACTTCAAATTCAGAGATGTTTGTCCGGTGTTCAAGTCTTTTGGTGGGTGTTCTCGGCTGCTATTGTTACCTGGGTGTCATAGCTGAAGAGGAAGCTTACAAATCAGAATTATTCCAGAAAGCCAAGGTGAGAAGATTTATATCAATAGTGTTTTGGATTGATTTGAATGAAATATATTCCTGGGAAAATTTGTATATTTGTTTGGAAAACAAACTGTTATATAGATTAACTGTTTCATTTATGTAGTCTGAGAGGAGATAATACTGTGTCTCTTTTCTTAAGATTTGAAGTTGTTTTAAGCCAATATCAATGCAGCAATTGAAATAGTATGTTGAAAGTTGATCTCATTAACAAAAATAAGGATTTTTATCTGTCCTTTTAAAAAGTTTTCCCTGGAGCAGTTATCCTAAAGAATGCTTAATTAAGCATTAATCAAATAGTCTTTCTAAGCATGAAATTAACTTCTATCTCTGGGTATTGTTTTGTCAGTTGTGTGATTTGTAAAGATAACATGATATAAAATTTGTTGTTTTTAAAAAATTGTTCATTTTTAATTATGTAACCAGTGTAACTTCTTGAAAGGATTAATTTTACCTGTTAAGTAAAACAAAGAAAAAGCCTTAAATAAGCTACGATTTTACCTGAAGTTTGGATTTTTCCTTCTTTTTTTTTTAATAGTCTCTAATGCAGTGTGCCGGAGAAAGTATCACTTTGTTTAAAAATAAGACAAGTGAAGAATCTAGAATTCTTTCATTGAGAAATATGATACATCTATGTACAAGTTGCTTACATAACTGTTCCAAGGTAAGATGTTCTTCCTACTTGACAGTGTAGCCTCTCCAGGAGGTTGATAACTGGGTGATGTCATTAATGTTTTTAGGGTCCATTCATAAGTTGATACTGATTTTAAATTAAATTGATAAATTAAGGTAGTATTCAGATGAATAAAGCAACATAATCTGAGTTTCTCATGAAACTAACTTCACAAAACTAATATTCTCAGGAAAGTTTCTGAGATTGTCTTACTCCTTTTATATAACAACTAATTGATAACTTATTGGCAATGTACTTTCATTCATTTAATAAAAACTTTTTGACTACCAGGTATGTGGTATGCATACCACTACCCAAGGGCTTGTGGACACTGCAAAGATAAGCTATTCAAGCATGTATGTTACTCTCTTCTGCCCAGATAGACTTACATGAAATTTGGTGGAAAGATTGCTACTATGTGTAATCTTTGTTTTGATTTGAAGGAGGCCTGAGGGGTAGTCAGGCCAGAGTATTGATAATAACCGGAAACATCTTTTAAAGCTAATGTTAAGTACATGTCCATGTATCAGTATTATCAGCATGTATTTTTAGAAGTGTTTTTCTGGGGAGATAAGAGGGGAAGGAGAGAGTGGAAGAATATACTGTAAGCTATGATTATTGCCTGTGTATGTTTAGGGGCAGTAGCTAGTATTTTACTTTAATGTTGTTTATGTCCAATAAAAGATATTTGCTACAGTTATTATTACCTTAAGAAAAGAGATTAGTATTTTTGAAGCAATTTATGTCTTGTTCCTAATAGTAACCTGTTTATCAATGCTTATTCTGATAGAGAATTTCCACTGTAAAAGAAAATCTACATTTTATTCACTACAGAGAAAATATTATCTGCGAAGAATAATTGTTTTTATATCTTTGCTTGCTGTTTTGTCTTAATTACAGCACAGTCCAAATAAGATTGCATCTGGCTTCTTCTTACGATTATTAACATCAAAGCTAATGAATGACATTACAGATATTTGTAAAAGTTTAGTAAGTATGCTTCCTGTTTTACTAGCATATTTCATTGACTCTAACATACTTTTTATAACTTTGAAATTTCTTTGAAAAGGGATGTATCTCACAGTATATGGCATCATATGCTTTAAAAATGTGGAAATTTAATAGTTATTTGGTTTGCCGGGCAGAATGTATATGCTTCTTAATATCAATAGCACTTGTTAATTTCTCAGTGAATAATAATAGACCAAGTGGTTGGAAATAATCATTCAGACTCGGTACCTTTTTCTGTATAACGTCAGTTCAGTCGCTCAGTTGTGTCCAACTCTTTTGAGACCCCATGAACTGCAACATGCCAGGCCTCCCTGTCCATCACCAACTGCCGGAGTTCACCGAAGCCCATGTCCATTGAGGCGGTGATGCCATCCAGCCATTTCATCCTCTGTTATCCCCTTCTCCTCCTGCCCTCAATCTTTGCCAGCATCAGGGTCTTTTCCAATGAATCAGCTCTTTGCATCAGGTGGCCAAAGTATTGGAGTTTCAGCTTCAACATCAATCCTTCCAATGAACACCCAGGACTGATCTCCCTAAGGATGGACTGGTTGGATCTTCTTGCAGTCCAAGGGACTCTCAAGGGTCTTCCCCAGCACCACAGTTCAAAAAACATCAATTCTTCGGCACTCAGCTTTCCTTACAATCCAACTCTCACATCCATACATGACTACTGGAAAAACCATAGCCTTGACTAGACGGACCTTTGTTGGCAAAGTAATGTCTCTGCTTTTTAATATGCTGCCTAGGTTGGTCATAACTTTCCTTCCAAGGAGTAAACGTCTTTTAATTTCATGGCTACAGTCACCATCTGCAGTGATTTTGGAGCCCAGAAAAATAAAGTCAGCCACTGTTTCCACTGTTTCCCCATCTATTTGCCATGAAGGGATGGGACCAGATGCCATGATCTTAGTTTTCTGAATGTTGAGCTTTAAGCCAACTTTTTCACTCTCCTCTTTCACCTTCATCAAGAGTCTCTTTAGTTCTTCTTCACTTTCTGCCATAAGGGTGGTATCATCTACATATCTGGGGTTATTGATATTTCTGCTGGCAATCTTGATTCCAGCTTGTGCTTCCTCCAGCCTAGCGTTTCTTGTGATGTACTCTGCATATAAGTTAAATAAGCAGGGTGACAATATAGAGCCTTGACATACTCCTTTTCCTATTTGGAACCAGTCTGTTTTTCATGTCTAGTTCTAACTGTTGCTTCCTGACCTGCATACAGGTTTGTCAAGTGGCAGGTCAGGTGGTCTGGTATTCCCATCTCTTTCAGAATTTTCCACAGTTTATTGTGATCCACACAGTCAAAGGCTTTGGCATAGTCAATAAAGCAGAAATAGATGATTTTCTGGAACTCTCTTGCTTTATTGATGATCCAGCAGATGTTGGCAATTTGATCTCTGGTTCCTCTGCCTTTTCTAAAACCAGCTTGAACATCTGGAAGTTCATGGTTCATGTATTGTTGAAGTCTGGCTTGGAGAATTTTGAGCATTACTTTACTAGTGTATAACGTACCAAAATTTAAAATAATTCTCTATTCATAAAAATAAAAACAAAAACCTTACTAGACAAGCAACATATATTTTTCTTTTTCATATCAATGGATTGCATACTTTTTTGTCTGGAACAGTGCCTGGCACATAGTAGATACTCAAATATTTAATGAGTAAAAGAATTTTCTTTAACTTGATTGTTTTCATTTAGTAATAAATCTTGGTCATCTTTCCATGCTGCTTTATAGGGCTATACCTTACTGCCTTACTTGTTTTTTTGTTTTGCAGCAACGTGGTGTTTCATTATATATGGAAATAACATATGTATTTTAACCCAACTGATCCTAATTAAAATTGTAAATGTTTTTTTTTTTTTCTCTAAAGAGTTCTGCAGTAAATTTCTTACAGTTTTTTCTATTTCTTTTTGTGCCTGTGAAGAATGTAGGAAAATTCTAGAAATGGAATTGCTTGTTCACAGGGAATATGAATATTATTGATACTTTTTGATATATATTATCATTTTCCTCCAAAATAGTCAAACTGTCCTCCATATAGTCAAGTTATAATCTTGTCTACACCCTCATCAGTTTGCAGTAGTATGAAGTTTCTTAATGTAAGAAGTCATTTGTAGAGTTTGTGTTTTATTCTGTTATATAGACAGTACAGATTATATATCCATTTTATACACCTGATTCTTGAATTGTTTGATTAATTCAATTTTAACTGCAGAATTCTTCTGAAAGAAACCAACTTGAAACATCTTTCTTTTGTTTGAAGGCATTCATGATCAAAAAGCCTTTTGACTTTGTAGAAGTAGAACCAATGGAAGAAGATACTGATGAAAATATAATGAGGATGGAGGATCGGTCATCCATGAGTCTATTTAATGATTACCCTGCTAGCAGTGTTACTGATGCAAATGAATCTGGAAAGAGCCAAATTACTATTGGTAAATACATTTTATTGCATGAGATTTTTTTTTTAACCTTCTAGTATTATTTGATATTATAAAAGACTTCATATATACTATTTTGTGCTCATTTAATTTCCTTTTTGTGTAGTCATTTAGGATTGTTCCCTTCCATACAGTTTAGAATTCTCTCATTTTTAATTGAATTTATTGCCAGTTTCCTATTTTATTCTTCATGGGTGAATTTAAAAATAATTGCTAAAGAAATAAAAACATTTTTGGATAACTAAACGTATTGGTTATTTGGAAATAAGCAGGATAGTGCAAAAGCACCCATAATGCAATTGTTGTTTACCTTTTTTCTGTTACTTCTACATAGACTCATATAATTCAAAATTATAATCAGCATCAACATTCACATGCCTTTTTATACCTTTGTCTGTTTTCTTTTAACATTAACTAGAAACAGTTTTTTCATTTAGGTACTTGTGCTGTTGATAATCATACTTTTTAATGGCCCTATAATATCATATTTAACATTGATACTGTAATTGACTAGGCCATTTTTTTGTCAGAAATTTAGATCCCTTTCTAACAGTATTGCAGTGAATACTTGCCTATGTAGATTTTTCCATAGATTATTTTTTGATGACAGAATCCTAGAGTAACCTTTTAAAAAGAATTTTGAAGCTTTTAGTGTGTGATCAAATTTATTATATTTTTGCTTTCCATATATTTTTATTTTTTTTTCTGTTGTTTGGGGGAAGATACTTGTGTTAATGTTCAATGTATGTGGTTATTTTACACCTTTGTTAGTTTTTTTTTTCCCCCATCTCTCTTAGTCTTAATAAGTGCTTTTTATTTTTAGGTGCCATGAATCCTTTAGCTGAAGAACATCTATCAAAGCAAGATCTACTTTCTTTAGACATGCTCAAGTTCTTGTGTATGTGTGTAACCACTGCTCAGACTAACACTGTGTCATTTAGGGCAGCAGATATTCGGAGGGAATTATTAATGTTAATTGATTCTAGCATGCTAGACCCTACCAGATCTCTTCATTTACACATGGTGAGTTCAGTGAAAGAAGTGCTTTGAGTGTACTTGATCTTGCTAGCTAAATGTAATGGACTGACATATAAGAATCAAATTGTACCTTTGAAGAATTGAAATTGCTTCCTTGAGAAATGAATCTGAGACTGTTATAAAATACACTTTTAATGTACTGTGAAAACATTTAAGTGGATACAGTAACGTTAAGACTTGAATGGACTTTGGATAGATTCCTTTTCTTTGGGTATAATTTTTATAAATTAGTTTAAACCAGGCCAAGAAATACAGACTCTGAATGTAAAAATAATACATAATGTTGTTATTGAAGTCTGAATCTTTCCTTGACCTTGGTTTATATGCTTTAAAATGTTTTAATGTAATTTCAAAGTGGCTATAACGTTAAAATACTACAGAATGTCTTAAATTTCATTCCTAAGCCTCCATAGTTAACATTTTGCTATGTTTGACTTATCCTTCTCTGCATGCTATACCCCCACACACACACACACTCACATACTTTTTTTCTGTACCATTTTGAGATTAAATATTCAAATATGATGCCCATTTACTTCAGTGTATATGTCCTATAAACAGTGATTCTCTCCTATATAACTATAGTATCATCATCAAGAAATTAACACTGTATCATGTTAACTAATAAATATGATAGTTTACTAGTTCTCAGGTCTGTTCAGTTTCTTTCAGTATGGAAGAGTTCTTTACTCTTTCCTTATCTTTCATGACTATTTTTGAATAGTATAGCCACTTGCTATATAGAATCCTACTGTTTGAATTTGTCTCATGTTTCCTCATTAGATTTAGACTTAACAAAAAGTAATCGCTCTCCTTTGCTTCCTTCATCAGTCTACTCATCTACTGATAGATATCTCCAATTCCAATCCAGCATTGTAGAATTTATTTTTCTCTGTCCATATGTATAGCTCCCTTTCCAACAGTGAGAAATCTGGCTTTCCACTTAACCTTGACACATTTATTTGTTTACTTAATATCATTACATGTAACTTATCTCCTGACCATGGGTGCTATACGCTTGGCCCCAGTGCTGGTGAACATGTTGGGGGAGCTCCTGTCTCAGTGAGTATGCTGGATGAGTCTGTGGTCATATCCCTAGTCACAGGCAGCAAATTGGCAAACATGTCAGGTGATTTCCCCAGCCATGGGAAACAGGCCAGTTAGAATCCCTTGGAAATATTGAGGTTGAGTCCCTGATAGAATTTCTTGTCATATTCTAGCTTTGGTGAACATCCTGGCTGATCGCCTAGCTCTGGCAAATACGCTTAGTTGAGTCCTGTTTGATCCCTTGGTTTCAAACCTGGCAATACTCTAGTATAAAGTCTCTAGCCCCAACCAGTTGGGAGGGCTGTATGCTTTTCTGGGGCTTTGATGTTAAAAGTCATTTCAAGACACTCACTAATATCACACATGACTCTCATGGCAAATATTTAAAATGGTTCAACTTAATGTTCCTTTTATAATGTCAGGAGTAAGAAACATTTTTCTACATATAGATGATGGGGTGGGGAGGCTTCTGATTCTTAATACAACAAGAAAATTACTTGACATGTCAAAAACTGACTGCCTAGTTATAACTTACCATTATTCTAGTAGTTGCTGAGTAGCCCTTTATATTGTACCATAGAGAGCCTACAGGAAGATAAGTCAGGGTATTTGGATTATTCACTGTGCATAATTATCTCTGCTTTCTAAAATTCATTAATAGAATAGTTTTTAACAATTGAAGTTTTAAACCTCAAGTACTGTTTTCAGAGAGTGATGACATAGTTTTAGACTCTTGCTCAGGCACTTAATCCCAACAGTGATAACAACTGTCACTCACTGAATGCTGTCAAAAAATTTTAGACGTTTACATGCATTTCCTTTCATCTTCACAGTAATCTGGCCAGGTAAGTGCTATATCCTTATTTTACAGCTTAGAGTACAAAGACACCAATGACAAGGCAAGTTTTAAAACCACACAAGTAGTAACAGATTGTGGTGCTAGGATTTGTATCCCACTCTCTTTGACTTCAAACTCTCCTGCTATTTTTGCCTGGTAAAAAAATTCACTGCTCAAGTGTGTATGTGTAGGCACGTGTGTTTATATATATGAATTTATGGTTTACATATATGTATTTATTTAAGTGAATGATAAATAAATATCATTTGAAAAAAAACTAATTCTCCCCCTCCCCGCCCCCCATCTTAGTATCTAGTGCTTTTAAAGGCACTTCCTGGAGAAGAATATCCCTTGCCAATGGAAGATGTTGCAAAACTTCTAAAACCACTACCGTAAGACATTAAAACCATATAGAATATTCACTCTAAATTTATAAACCAAACTGGTGTGTTCTGTTATGCTGATAAAGTTAAATTTTTTCCACCACAGCAATGTGTGTTCATCTTATCACCGTGACCAAGATGTTTGTAAAACCGTCTTAAACCATGTCGTTCACGTAGTGCTGAACCTCTGTCACAGAAATGTGGATGATGAGGACACAAGGGATGCTCAAGGACAGTTTCTAACAGTGATTGGAGCATTTTGGTGGGTGTAGGTTATTTTTTGGAGTTCTTGTTTTTCTTTCGCCACTTTTGCATGCAAATGCAAACTTCGCATTTCTACTTTAGTGATTTCTTCTAATTCTTGAATGTAGCTATATACATTTTTTAACAATAGTGAAATGTAACTTGTATTTCCTTTCTTGATTACTTGAAGAACTACATTGTTTTCTGCTAAAGGCTTGGCTTCCTAAAGTGAGCTTAGTGTATTTCTCTTTGAATTCTGAATCACTTAATAGTTCGACAGGTATGATGAATTAAAGCAAAGTGCAACATGCCTGATAAATCAGTTGAGTAGTTTATATTCCTAAAGTGAACAGGTTGGCCTTGTCACTATCTGGCTGTTTCATGCACAGAACCCAGTTTGAGATAATACTAAGATATTTATAGAGGAGCATATATATGTCATTCAGAACCCTCATACCATTTGGTGGGTAAGGATTTCTGAATCAGTACAGAATATGGTTTTTTAAATCTTTGATATATAACACTAAGAATGTTTTCCTTTTCAAGCAAGTTTTCAATAACATGGTTAGCTGAAGTGTGATAGCCCCCAAATGAGGCGTAATCATATGACACAAATACATTAAAATGAGCTGCTTTTCAAACCAATTTATTTTAGCTGGAATTTTTGGAAGGTGATAATATTGGCGTGTACTGCATAGTGAGAATCAAATTTATCATGGAAAGTAATTTTGGAAGCAGCCTAGAATAATCTTAATGTCCAATGGTTTTTTTTTGACTATGCTTTTATTGGAATAATTACTTGATATTAAGACATGTACTTTATTTCAGGCATTTAACAAAGGAGGGGAAAAGTGCATTCTCTGTAAGAATGGCACTAGTAAAATGCCTTAAAACTTTGCTTGAGGTGAGTTATTCCACTTTAATTATTAGTAAGGTTTCCAGTGACGTTTTAAAAGCAGTCTTTATTTCTGTTTGTTAATGGGTAGTTTTTCTCTTAGTATTTCACATTTAACCTCAATTGATCTTTTCCCATAGGCTGATCCTTATTCAAAATGGTCTATTCTGAATGTAAAGGGAAAAGATCTTCCTGTAAATGAAGTATTTCCACAGTTTCTTGCTGATAATCATCACCAAGTTCGCATGTTGGCTGCAGAGTCAATAAACAGGTAATGGGCCCAGTATTCATGAAGTATCTGGAGTGCTGCAGATAGCAGTTCAATGTCTAGCACAGTCATAGCTCACTAGGGGTGATATTAAAAGTAATGATTACTAAGCATAGACTGTATGCCTGGCATTTTTGTTTTCTCTTAATTCTGACAACTCTTTCACTTATATGATTATTTTATCTAATTTAGTAACGAAAACTCCGTGGCTTAGACGGATAAAGTAAGTTGCTAAGTGCTATACATCTAGTAAGTGGTTGAGAAGAATGAGGTGTGTCTACTCCCAATTAGAGATACGTGGCTTTTAGGTATTAGAGAAATTTTACATAAGTTTATAAAATGAAAATTAGCACATTTTGCATTTGGCTAATTACAATCATATTTATTCAAGTGAACATAAAATTAGGCATTGGAGTGATTCTCTCACAAGAAATGTGTTTTATGTTTGAGTACCTAAAGAAGCCTTTCACTCTGTGGATTACAACAAGCTGTAGAAAATTCTGAAAGGGATGGAAATACCAGACCACCTCACCTGCCTCCTGAGAAACCTGTCTGCAAGTCAGGAAACAGCAGTTAGAACCAGACATGGAACAACGGACTGGTTCAAAATTGGGAAAAGTGTATGTCAAGGCTGATTATTGTCACCTTTCTTATTTAACTTATGTGAAGAGTGCATCATGAGAAATTCTGGGCTGGATGAAGCACAAGTGGGAATCTAGATTGCCAGGAGAAATATCAACAACCTCAGATATGCAGATCACACCACTCTAATGGCAGAAAGTGAAGAGGAACTAAAGAGTCTCTTGATGAAAGTGAAAGAGGAGAGTGAACAATCTGGCTTAAAACTCAGCATTCAAAAACTAGGATCATGGCATCTGGTCCCATCACTTAATACAAATAGGTGGGGAAAAAAATGGAAACAGTGACACATTTCATTTTCTTGGGCTCCAGAATCATTGCAGACAGTGACTGTGGCCATGAAATTAAAAGATGCATGCTCCTGGAAGAAAAGCTATGACAAACCTAAACAGCATATTAAAAAGCATAGACATCACTTTGCCAACAAAGGTCCGTCTAGTCAAAGCTATGGTTTTTCCATTAGTCATGTATACATGTGAGAGTTGGACCATAAAGAAGGCTGAGTGTCAAAGAATTGGTGCTTTCAAACTGTGGTGTTGGAGAAGAGTACCTTGGACAGCAAGGAGATTTCTAAAGGAAATCAACGCTGAATATTCATTGGAAGAACTGATGCTGAAGCTGCTTTGGCCACCTCATGCCAAGAGCTGACTCACTGGAAAAGAGCCTGATATTGGGAAAGATTGAGGGAAAGAGGAGAAGGAGACGATAGAGGATGAGGTGTTTGGATGGTATCACTGACTCAATGGACATCAGTTTGAGCAAACTTAAGAGATAGCTAAGGACAGGGAAGCCTGATGTGCTGCATTTCATGGGTTCACAAAGATTCGCACATGACTTAGTGACTGAACAACAGTAACAACCTGAAGAAGCAAATATTAAATGTTAGCAACTGCATGTTTAATGGGTTATTAAGTGGATTTTAAAACTCTAGATTGTAACCTACCTCTGCCTTTCCCACCTCACTCTGCTATAAACAAAACATCTCTGCTTTATTTTTCTCTATAGCATTTATCACCAGTTGAAATATTATATTTTAACACATTTATCTAGGATATGAGCTCCTAAAGAGTATTTTGTTTGTCTTTGTCTCTTTTCCTAAAATAACACTTGGAATGTGTCAGGTGTTTAATAATTTGTAAAATCAATGAATATTTGAAAAAAATTACATTATGCTTAAAACATCAAAGCTAAAAATCATTTGAGCAGTTTTTCTGTTCAACTGTAGATGACCAATAATTAAAGAACACTGAAGAAAGTGCCACGCAGTCACATAAATACACGTGTTAGAAAACATGGTGTGTCCAAAATTTTGATATTCTGAAAGCAGTGTTTTCATAGGTCAGAATCATGTCTTAATTCCTTAGGTTTAGGACTATTTTTAGTAAAACCACAGAGCATTGTAACATTTGCTAATGGATGTGTGCTTTATTTCAAATACTTAAGAAAGAAAATATATACAGAAATTAAAGATCTGGGGTTACAGAGGATAACAAGTTGAATATAATAAAGCAGTGTAGTGCTGACATTTAAAAATTTTCTTAGGATTCAAAAATGCATAAATTCATGAATGGCATGAACATATTTATTTATTTATTGGTTGTTTACTTGTTAGATATGTAATATTAAACTACTGAAGAGAGATTGGAGAAACTGAGGAATCAGAGAAATACCAAAAAGTTAATACTTTCATAAGTTTTGATTAGTATAAAAGAATAAAAGACAAAAGTGGCTAAAGAGTTGTCCTTAAATATGATGGTACATTATTCAAAAAAGCACTGATCAGCTCTCCTCTACCACATAAAAATAATTTTAATAGAACATCAAGACATTAAAGCTAATAACTTTTAGAAAGTGAAAATCGCTCAGTCATGTCCAACTCTTTGTAACCCCATGGCCTGTACAGGCCAGAATACTAGAGTGGGTAGCCTTTCCCTTCTCTAGCGGACCTTCCCTACCCAGGGACTGAACCCAGGACTCTTGCATTGCAAGCAAATTCTTTACCAGCTGAGCCAACAGGGAAGCCCAAGAATACTGGGTAGCCTATCCGTTCTCCAGCAGATCATCCCAACCCAGGAATTGAACCAAGGTCTCCTACGTTGCAGGCAAATTCTTTACCAACTGAGCTATCAGGGAAGCAATAACTTTTAAGTTGTGATTAAATGTTAGACCAGGTTGATATAAGAGCCTCTGGCTTCTTCTTGTTGATATTTTACCAGAGAACAAATTTTTTTTCTGGTTAGTTTGCATTCAGAGATATTCAAGCTTAAGCAATAAGCTAAGAGATCTTTTGAGACACTTTTCAGTTCTAGGAGAAAATGGGATGTTTGGTAAAGATCCTAATATTAGTAGCTTTGAACCTACTAGATTTAACATTTCCTTGGTCTTTTGAAAGAAGACCTAATATGTTAGTGTGTCTCACAGAGTGATTTATTTTTGCCCTGTAAATATGCTTTGGAAAGTAGAGTTTAAGATTAAAAATCATTTCACTTTTTGCTTTTTTTTTTTTAAGATTGTTTCAGCATATAAAACGAGGTTCTTCCACATTGAAAGCACTTCCTTTGAAGCTTCAGCAAACAGCTTTTGAAAATGCATACTTGAAAGCTCAGGAAGGAATGAGAGAATTGGTAATTTTAGTAATGTATATTTGCTGATACTATACTTTCTATAAGTATGCCTTATGTTATTTTACCAAGTTTGGCCTAAGACAGTTTATATCTAATTGTTCACAGTTAGACTAGAACAGCTATATGAATCAATTGAAATTGCTTAATTTATAGGTCAAAATTGGTTTAATAATGCGGTTTCTTTTGGTTCAACTTATATGCAGCATTTTTGTAGGAAAAACAGAATTTACTGAGTTTTTATGGGAGTATAAATGGCTTATTTTTGAATTTAAAATTTTATTTCATAAGATCTGATTAAAAGCTAATTCACAACAGGTGACAATAGAAAGAAATGGATTGAGAAAAAAATGTTGAAGATCAAATTATCTTTGTGCTCTTTAATGAGCCTTGTTATTTTCATAATTTTCTGTAGAATAACATCTTTTCTTAAAATGGCAGAAGTTGTCTTAGTTGTAAAATTTATTCATTCTTATATGCTGTGATTGGTTCATGAAAAGTATGTGAAGCAGTTACTCAAATGACTATATATTCTATAACAGCACAAAACTGAAAAAAGAAAATTGAGTGAAAAAAAGGTGAAATTTGAAAGGTTTCAAGAGATTACAAAAATGAGTATAAAATAAAATTTACTAGCGATAACATATATTATATATTTTACCATCAGCATGTCGTGTGCAAAAAGAGAAAACACTGACCTGACAGCAGTTTGGAGAAAGACCTTAGAAGCTTTACATCTGGAGAGCATAATATGAATCAACATTGTAATGGTTATCGAAAAATGCAAATTCCATCTTAGATGTCATTAATAGAAGCAGACTGTAATGAGCTAGTTTATAAAAAGAACTTGAATCTTCTATTGATTTTAGAGGGCAGCTGGTTTTGTTCCCAGTAAAAGTAAATTTTTAACTAAAATGTTAGAGAGTCTCTGGACCTATCTCTCATACAGAATAGGTAAAGGAGTTGACTTCCTGGGAACATCATAACTATTTTCAGACATGTCGATGATTGCCATTTAGTAAAGGAATTAGGTCCTTACTTTTTCTTGTACCAAAAATAGAAATAAGATCAGTGACTGGCAGTTTTTTCTGAAAGTGAAAATAAACTTCTATCAATTATAGTAAGTCAAAAAATGTATATGTCTGTTGGAAGAGTTTAATGATTGATTGTTAAGCTAGAAGCATGCATCATTTTATCTAGTAGTATGACTTTATTAGGTTTTTTAGTGATATCTATGATATTTTTAAAGGATAAAGAGCTATATATATTGTTATAATGGTAATAAGATGATAATACATCTTAGAAGGTAATACTTGATAGTTGATGAGATTTTAGTCTTTCTCACATTCCTGCAGTTACTTTTTTTCTCTTCTTGTTTCTTCAAAGTGATTTATACCTCATTGAAATGTTTGACAATTCTTATTTTATGAGGTCTTATCAACAGCAATCTTTCTCACTATAGCAACTTTGGTCCTTTCTCATAATCACTTTTTAGCTCCATAACTATAGGATTTAAAACTGTTCACTGGCTGTTTAGATGTTCTTGTGGTATTTGTTGTTAGCTGGTTGGTTTATTTGGAATATTTAAATATTTACATTACATATTGTTTTAAAATTTTTTCTAAAGTCCCACAGAACTGAAAACTCTGAAATTTTGGATGAACTTTGTAATAGAAAAGCCACTTTACTGATGATGATAGCTGTGGTGTTATACTGTAGCCCTGTCTGTGAAAAGCAGGCTTTATTCGCCCTATGCAAGTCTGTGAAAGAGAATGGACTAGAGCCTCACCTCGTTAAAAAGGTATGTATGAATATTTTTATTATAATTATCCTTGGATAACTTTTAAACAATTAAAGCTAGATTTTAAATGTGTCATTTATTAAAGAGTTGGAGATGGTTTTATTTTTTAGATTTGGAATATTGGAAAGCAGTAACTTGTAAGAAAGTTTATCTATTTGTATACAACATCATTTTTTACATTCAGTTTAAGAGCATTTCACAAGACTGTCATTGAACTAGTAAGAGTGAGTGACCTGTCATCATTCAGACCAGGCCTTCTTGAATACTATTTTTGGGGAGAAATACATGGAGAAAAAAAAGTAGTATGTATTTTGCCTGGTGTATTCTGGAGAAAGACCTTGGAATATAGTAGGGTGAGAAGTCAAAGTTTAGATATGGAAAGCTTTTAAGTTGCATGATTAGAAATACCAGGGTCCAGTGTTGTAGAACGTTTACTCTCGCCCTTGGTCCAACACCTCAGCGTTCATGGTTTGAGAAGTTCCAGACTTTTCCATCCTGTATTTTTACATGATAAACCAATGATTGATCATAACTTGATGTAACTAGTGTGGTTTCCAGTGGAACTTTTTCCCCAGGTTTGATCCCTGGGTGGGGAAGATCCCCTGGAGAAGGACAGGGGAGTCTGGTGAGCTACAGCCCATGGGGTTACAAAAGAGTCAGACATGACTTTGTGACTAAATAATAACAAACAACAACAGCATAGATAAGTTAATCAAGGGAGAGAAAAGTTACATGAATGCTCAAAGCCATACTGTAAATAATATTAAGGATGTAAATGATTTATTATTTCATTATTAAAACATTGACTTCTTTTTGATTTGTACAGGTTTTAAAGAAAGTTTCTGAAACTTTTGGATATAGATGTTTAGAAGATTTCATGGCTTCTCATTTGGATTACCTGGTATTGGAATGGCTAAATCTTCAAGATCCTGAATACAGTGTATCTTCTTTTCCTTTTATTTTATTAAATTACACAAACATTGAAGATTTCTATAGGTAGGTTTGCATATGGCACATGTGAAATATATTTAAAATTAGTTATTAATAATATTGTGAGAATCAAGACAGCTTTTATAAATGAAAGCGTATTAAAGGTTATCAGTTAACTTAGGATCTGGTCCTAGCTGTGCCAGTAAGCCAGCTACATGACTTTAGGCAAGCCACAAGAACACCCAGTGGGTCTTGGTTTCTTACTGTAAAGTTTCTTACTGGAATTATTGGAGTAGGAAATGTCAACCCTCTCCAGTATTCTTGCCTGGAAAAATCCCATGGACAGAGGAGCCTGACAGGCTACAGTCTGTGGGGTCGCAAAGAGTTGGACATGACTGCATGCACACACAAGGATGTATAGAGATCTTTGAGGTCCATTTCAGCTTTAATATTTAATAATTTTCCCTGTGAAAAATCAAAGATAAATTATTGATGGCTGATTATTTTTGCCCTGTTTTTCTTTTTCCTGTTTGAATGTGGGCCATTTAGTTGTTTCTATATGATTTAAAGTTTAATATAAAGGTATTTATTTTGCTAACTCCCAAGTCTGGAGAACAGAATTTTGAAAATGGAGAGGTTTGAAACAACTAAATAATAATGTTTAAATATCAGGATATGGGAAGGCAATTTGTAATTGTTTAATAGTCCTTATTGTTTGTTCATTTTGCCAGATCTACATTTATTTTTTGAATTTATAAATTGCTTTCACCTTTCACTATATAATAATTTGGCATAAAGATTATACAGAAGAAACAAATATAAATTCATTTTCACTTGTTTTTGATCATGCCTTTAGGATGATAATATGCTTAAGATCTCTGTTTTTTTTAGTGTGACTATTTAGAATTTACTTAACTTCATGTTAAGTAAATTTATAGAGTTATATATTTTTTTATAAATTTTATAAATATATATATAAATTTATAAATTTTATAAAATTACAGAGTAAGAATGCTTACTTAATTTTATAAATTTTTAAAATTTTATAAATTTATAAATATATATATTTATGTAAATATATGTAAGTATATGTAAATATATATTATAAAAATATAAATATTATAAATAATATAAACTTAATTTATAGAGTAAGAATGCTTAATGATCTAGATAAAGTAGCTCTAAGCTTATTAAACCAGTTTATTTATTTTATTTATTTTTTTGCCCACACCACATGACTCAAGGAATCTTTACTTTCCTGACCAGGGATTGAACCCATGGTGAAAGCATTTGAGTCCACTGGAACACCAGGAATTTCCAAAACCATTCTGTTATTTTACGGACTGTATTATAAAGTTTTACTTTGAAAAGTTATATTTTTAATGTATGTTTTTAATTTTTATATTTTTAGGTCTTGTTATAAAATTTTGATTCCACCTCTAGTGATTAGAAGTCATTTTGATGAAGTAAAGTTAATTGCTAATCAGATTCAAGAGGATTGGAAGAGTCTTCTGACAGACTGCTTTCCAAAGATTCTTGTAAATATTCTTCCATACTTTGCTTATGAGGGTACAGAAGACAGTGGGATGGCCCAGCAAAGAGAGACTGCTACCAAAGTCTATGATATGCTTAAAGATGAAAACTTATTAGGAAAACAGGTATGACTTCAATATTTACAATACCTTTTAACCCATAATTGATCTGAGGTGTAACTTTAGGCTATTCATCACTTATGCAATTAAATTTAATATTTTATAGTAAACACTATCTAACATAGGCAATGCATTAATTTTTTTGTTATTGTACAGTGTTCTCTCTATTTTGATTGGCTTTTAAATGTTTTTAACCAGGAATTTTCTTTTTAACTTTGGAATAATTTTACCACCTTTTCCTTGTAAAATATCATTTTAATTGTCAGTAATACATGAATATAAGCTGGTTATTAAATTCAAGCAATGCTGAACAAGGTATAGAAAATCTTCACTTTCTCTTGACTATCATTAAGCCCTTCATTTTTCAAGGAAAAGTACAATCCCATGTTCCCATTCTCTGCTTTTTCCATGGCATTTGCTACCTTCTAATATAGATATAGCTTACTTATGAATTATGTTCATTGGTTCTTATCAACCTTCTCCACTATAAGTACTTGTAAAGGTCGGATTTTTCTTTCTTCTTTTTTCTGATGTATCCCAGCTATCTAGTATATATCAAGTACTCATTATTTGATGAAAGATGGAGTCCGGTTAAAAAGGATCTAACAACTTGTTTCTTTTATAGTAATTTATACATATATAAGTGAAGGAGGAGAGTGAAAAATTGGCTTAAAGCTAAACATTCAGAAAATTAAGATCATGGCATCTGGTCCCATCACTTCATGGGAAATAGATGGGGAAACAGTGGAAACAGTGTCAGACTTAATTTTGGGGGGCTCCAAATATCACTGCAGATGGTGATTGCAGCCATGGAATTAAAAGACTCTTACTCCTGGGAAGGAAAGTTATAACCAACCTAGATAGCATATTTAAAAGCAGAGACATTACTCTCCCAACAAAGGTCCGTCTAGTCAAGGCTATGGTTTTTCCAGTGGTCACGTATGGATGTGAGAGTTGGACTATAAAGAAAGCTGAGTGCCGAAGAACTGATGCTTTTGAACTATGGTGTTGGAAAAGACTCTTGAGAGTCCCTTGGACTGCAAGGAGATCCAACCAGTCCATCCTAAAGGAGATCAGTCCTGGGTGTTCCTTGGAAGGACTGACGTTGAAGCTGAAACTCCAAAACTTTGGCCACCTCATGCGAAGAGTTGACTCATTGGAAAAGACCCTAATGCTGGGAAGGGTTGGGGGCAGGAGGAGAAGGGGATGACAGAGGATGAGATGGTTGGATGGCATCACTGACTTGATGGACATGGGTTTGGGTGGACTCCGTGAGTTGGTGATGGACAGGGAGGTCTGGCGTGCTACAGTTCATGGGGTTGCAAAGAGTCGGACATAACTGAGTGACTGAACTGAACTGAACTGATACATATCAAAAATATATTTGAGGCAACTTATATTCAGATAATCAGATCGATTATATTCTTTGCAGCAAAAGATGGAGAAGCTCTATACAGTCAGCAAAAACAAGACCGGGAGCTGACTGTGGCTCAGATCATGAACTCGTTATTGCCAAATTCAGACTTAAACTGAAGAAAGTAGGGAAAAGCACTAGAGCATTCAGTTATGACTTAAATCAAATCCCTTCTGACTGTACAGTGGAAGTGAGAAATAGATTTAAGGGACTAGATCTGATAGAGAGCCTGATTAACTATGGACAGAGGTTCGTGACATTGTTCAGGAGATAGGGATCAAGACCATCCCCATGGAAAAGAAATGCAAAAAGGCAAAATGGTTGTCTGAGAAGGGCTTACAAATAGCTGTGAAAAGAAGGGAAGCGAAAGGAGAAAAGGAAAGATATTCCCATTTGAGTGCAGAGTTCCAAAGAATAGCCAGGATAGATAAGAAAGCCTTCCTCAGTGATCAATGCAAAGAAATAGAGGAAAACAACAGAATGGAAAAGACTAGAGATCTCTTCAAGAAAATTAGAGATACCAAAGGAACATTTCACACAAAGATGGGTTTGATAAAGGACAGAAATTGTATGGACCTAACAGAAGCAGAAGATATTAAGAAAAGGTGGCAAGAATACACAGAACAACTGTACAAAAAAGATCTTCACGACCCAGATAATCACGATGGTGTGATCACTCACGTAGAGCCAGGCATGGTAGAATGTGAAGTCAGGTGGGCCTTAGAAAGCATCACTGTGAACAAAGCTAGTGAATGTGATGGAATTCCAGTTGAGCTATTTCATATCCTGAAAGATGATGCTATGAAAGTGCTGCACTCAATATGCCAGCAAATTTGGAAAACTCAGCAGTGGCCACAGGACTGGAAAAGGTCAGTTTTCATTCCAATCCCAANTTGGAAAACTCAGCAGTGGCCACAGGACTGGAAAAGGTCAGTTTTCATTCCAATCCCAAAGAAAGGCAATCCCAAAGAATGCTCAAACTGCTGCACAATTGCACTCATCTCACACGCTAGTAAAGTAATGCTCAAAAAACTCCAAGCCAGGCTTCACCAATATGTGAACCGTGAACTTCCAGATGTTCAAGCTGGTTTTAGAAAAGGCAGAGGAACAAGAGATCAAATTGCTAACATACTCTGGATCATCAAAAAGCAAGAGCATTCCAGAAAAACATCTTTTTTGCTTTATTGACTATGCCAAAGTCTTTGACTGTGTGGATCACAATGCGAAATTCTGAAAGAGATGGGGATACCAGACCACCTGACCTGCCTCTTGAGAAACCTGTTTGCAGGTTAGGAAGCAACAGCTAGAACTTGACATGGAACAACAGTCTGGTTCCAAATAAGAAAAGGAGTATGTCAAGGCTCTATATTGTCACCTGGATTATTTAACTTATATGCAAAGTACATCATGAGAAACACTGGGCTGGAGGAATCGCAAGCTGGAATCAAGATTGCCAGGAGAAATATCAATAATCTCAGATATGCAGATGACACCACCCTTATGGCAGAAAGTGAAGAGGAACTAAAAAGCCCCTTGATGAAAGTGAAAGAGGAGAGTAAAAAAGTTGGTTTAAAGCTCAACATTCAGAAAAGTAAGATCATGGCATCCGGTCCCATCACTTCATGGGAAATAAATGGGGAGACAGGGGAAACAGTGTCAGACTTTATTTTGGGGCTCCAAGATCACTGCAGATGGTGATTGCAGCCATGAAATTAAAAGACACTTACTCCTTGGAAAGAAAGTTATGGCCAACATAGATAGCATATTAAAAAGCAGAGACATTACATTGCCAACAAAGGTCTGTCTAGTCAAGTCCATGGTTTTCCAGTGGTCATGTGTGGATGTGAGAGTTGGACTGTGAAAAAAGCTGAGCACCAAAATATTGATGCTTTTGAACTGTGCTGTTGGAGAAGACTCTTGAGAATCCCTTGGACTGCAAGGAGATTCAGCCAGTCCATCCTATATGAGATCAGTCCTGGGTGTTTATTGGAAGGACTGATGCTGAAGCTGAAACTCCAATATTTTGGTCACCTCATGCAAAGAGTTGACTCATTGGAAAATACCCTGAAGCTGGGAGGTATTGGGAGCAGGAGGAGAAGGGGACGACAGAGGATGAGATGGCTTGATGGCATCACCAACTCGAGGGACATGGGTTTGAGTAAACTTCGGGAGTTGGTGATAGACAGGGAGGCCTGGCGTGCAGAGTGGCCATGGGGTTGCAGAGTCGGACATGACTGAGCAACCGTACTGAACTGATCTGAAAGAATGTTCAAACTAACAGACAATTGCACTCATTTTTTCATGCAAGTAATGTTATGCTTAAAATCGTTCAAGCTAGGTTTCAGCACACTTGAATCAAGAACTTCCAGATGTAAAAGCTGGATTTTAAAAAGGCAAAGGAACCAGAGATCAAATTGCCTGTATCTGTTGGATCATAGAGGAAGCAAGGGAATTCCAGACAAACATATACTTTTGCTTTACTGAGTATGCTAAAGACTTTTACTTGTAAATCACAATGAACTATTGAAAATTCTTAAAGAGATGGAAATAATACATCATCTTACTTGTCTCCTGAGAAACCTGTACACAGAATAAGAGCAACAGTTAGAACCTTACATGGAAAAACTGACTGATTGAAAATTGGGAAAGGAGTAGGACAAGGCTATATATTGTCACCCTTCTTATTTAACTTATATGCAGAGTATATAATGTGAAATGCCAGGCTGAATGAGTTAAAAGGTATAATCAAGGTACCTGGGAGAAATATCCACAACCTCAGATATGCAGATGATACTTCTCTAATGGAAAAAGAGAAAAGGAACTAAAGATCCTCTTGATGAAGGTAAAGAACAGAGTGAAAAGTTGGCTTAAAACTCAACATTCATAAAGCTAAGATCATGGCATCTGGTCCCATCACTTCATAGCAAAGGAAATGTGAAAAAGTGGAAGCAGTAACAGATTTTCTCCTCTTGGGCTCCAAAATCACTGCATATGGTGACTTCAGTCTTGAAATTAGAAGATGCTTGCTTCTTGGAAGAAAAGCTATGACCAACCTGTACAGTGTATTAAAAAGCAAAGACATAACTTTGCCAATAAAGTCAGTCTAAGCTATGGTTTTTCCAGTAGTCATGTATGAATTTGCTATTTGGGCCATAAAAATGGCTGAGCACTGAAGAATTAATGCTTCAGAATTTTGTTGCTGGTGAAGGCTCTTGAGAGTCACTTGGACAGCAAGGAAGTCAAACAAGTAAATCCTAAAGGAAATGAACCCTGAACCAATGAACTCATTGGAAGAACTGATACTGAAGTTGAAGCTCCAATACTTTGACCACCTGATGCAAACATTGCCTCACTGAAAAAGATCATGATACTGAGAAAAACTGAAGGTAAAAGAAGAAGGTGGCAGAAAATGAGTTGATTGAATAGCAACACCAACTCAATGGACATGAACTTGGACAAATTTCGGGATATAGTGAGGTACAGGGAAGCCTGGTGTGCTACAGTCCATGGAGTCACAAAGTGTTCAACTTAATTACTGAACAGCAACAACACTAGGTGTTCTTCAAGCCACATGTTTCCCTTGGGCATAGAGACTACA